GTGCCTTTTTTCTCTCGTAAACTGTCTTCTGCAGAGAGAAACTACGACATCGGGAACAGAGAGCTCCTGGCAATCAAGCTGGCCCTAGAGGAGTGGCGTCACTGGCTGGAGGGGGCTACTCACCCCTTTGTGGTCTGGTCGGATCACAAGAACCTCACGTATATCCAGACAGCCAAGCGTCTCAACTCAAGGCAAGCCAGGTGGGCCCTTTTTTTCGACCGTTTCAACTTCTCTGTCACTTATCGCCCTGGCTCCAAGAACTTGAAACCAGATGCCTTGTCCAGAGTTTATTGCGGTGCACATCCTGCTCCTGAGAATGACACTATTCTGCCTTTGTCCCGTATAGTGGCTACAGTTACATGGGAGATAGAGTCACGAGTGCGTCAGGAGCAACTGACCCACCCGGATCCGGGGACGGGACCCCCGAGTTCCTTGTTTGTTCCTGACCCCGTTTGTTCAGAAGTTATTCAATGGGCACACTGCACCCACCTTACATGCCACCCTGGGGTTAGTCGTACCCTCGCTGTGCTCAGGCGCAAGTTCTGGTGGCCTACTATGGAGAGGGATACTAAGGACTTCATTGCTGCATGCAACGTGTGCTCCCAGAATAAATGTTCTAACAAGCCCCCATCTGGGTTGCTGCGTCCTCTACCCATCCCCAATCGCCCTTGGTCTCACATAGCGCTGGATTTTGTTACCGGCCTCCCGCCTTCTAATGGTAATTCCGTGGTGCTGACAGTTGTGGACCGGTTCTCAAAGGCTGCTCACTTTGTACCCCTTCCTAAACTTCCTTCTGCTAAGGAGACTGCAGACCTGTTGGTGAACCACGTCTTCCGGCTGCATGGCATTCCTGCCGACATCGTGTCTGACAGAGGCCCCCAGTTCACGGCTCAGGTTTGGAAGGCCTTCTGTTCTGCCCTGAATATTTTAACGTGAGCCTTTCCTCTGGCTATCACCCCCAGACTAATGGCCAGACGGAGCGGGCTAACCAGCAGATGGAGGTGGCTCTACGTTGTGTGTCCTCCTCTAATCTGTCCAGCTGGAGTTCTCACCTTCCCCGGGTGGAATATGCCATAACACACTCCCGAGCGCTTCTTTAGGTATGTCCCCTTTTGAATGTTGTTATGGCTATCAACCGCCCCTGTTTCCTGACCAAGAGGCTGAGTTGGCAGTGCCCTCGGCCCAGGATAACCTTCGCAGATGTCAAAAGACTTGGAAGAAGGCCCGCTCTGCCTTGCTGCGCGCCTCTGCTCGGACGCAAGTACAGGCTAATCGCCGCCGCATCCCGGCTCCTGCCTATTTGCCTGGACAGAAGGTGTGGCTGTCTCCGAGAGACATTCCCCTCAAGGTGGAATCTGCGAAGCTGTCGCCCCGCTTTATTGGGCCCTTTGAGGTGGAACGGGTCGTCAACCCCTCCGCGGTACGTCTTAAGCTTCCCTCTTCCTTGAAGATTCACCCCACGTTTCATGTGTCCCGTGTTAAGCCTGTCCAGTCTAGTCCATTGGTTCCCCCCCGTCCAGCCCCACCCCCGCCTAGGTTGGTGGACGGCCATCCTGCCTTTACTGTTCGGCGGATCGTGGATGTTCGACAGCGTGGTCGTGGCTGCCAGTTCCTGGTGGACTGGGAAGGTTACGGCCCCGAGGAGCGATGCTGGGTCTCCCGTGGCAACATCCTGGACCCGTCCCTCATACGGGACTTCTACGCTCGTCGACCGGGGAGGCGTGTGTGTCCGCCTGGGGGCGTCGGTAGGGGGAGGGGTACTGTCAGGGCTGCTCCTCCAGCAGCCCCTCCCTCCCCTGCTTCTCCTGGAGCCGCCTCCCAGAGCAGGTGGATGGGAGAGGCTGATCAGGCCCAGCTGCCTCCTGGCTCCAATCAAGCTACTACAAGAGCTCCAGAAGCCAGCTCATCGGTGCCAGTTCGTAATCAGTGTTACTGTGCGTTAGTAGGCCTGCTTGTTATCGCTCTCGTTACTTTTGTCTCACCTTTGTTTTGCTCTGCCTAAGACCTCCGTTCCGCACCGCCTGACCCCAGCCCAGCACCGCCTGACCCCAGCTCTGCACCCAGCCCTGCACCGCCTGGTCCCAGCCCCATTCCCGGCTCTCCTGTGTTTTGAGTCTACCTATTTTTGTTAATTAAACTTTTTGTTACCTCTGCACTTGGGTTCTTTGTCTGACTCGTAACATGCACCTATCATGCCCATCTCAAACTGCTATCCCTATCTGCTGATAGTAACTTTGGATACAGTTATTGCTTACAACTTATTTACACAGAAAGAAATAGTATGTATTATTTTGTCCAAAATATTGACTTTGTCATTTGAAAAAATATCTTTATAAATGGCTGAATTCATATTCAATCAAATTCAAATAATTTTATTCATCCGTGAGGAACTTCATTTACAGACGGAGCACCAGTGGGGATACACAAAAACACAGAAACACACGATCTAAGTATAAATACAGTAATTTACTGTAACTCCTTAACCTTCCACCGGAGATAAGCCTTGAAGTTTTATTTTTCCAAATTTGAAAATTACCAGCTGCAAATCAGACAATTTATAACTAACTAGATCACCAACCGCTCCCACTGCTGCAAACACATGCAAGTTCACAAAACCTGATTTCACCTGAGAATCTGCCAAAACTAATTTATGGGACAGGAGCTTTTAGACAGAATGGACGGCGTTCCTGATATTAGTTTGGAAGGATTTTATTTCTATTTTTACAATATTAATGACGTTGGACAAAATGTGGAAATTGACAAGTTGTCTAAGTTATCTTTTAACCTCTTCACTCACTAAAGCCACTGGTAAATAAAAAAGGCTTTTTTGAATTTATTCTTTCCCTCAAACAAAATGCAAACCAAACTAAATTGATGCTCTTCTCCAGAAAAAGGGAGAATTTTCCTTCAGTTGTTGCTCCAGACGGTTCAATTGAAGAAGTGAGTGCTTTTTAATACCAAAATAAATTCAGTCAGTATCTCATTCCCTTCATCGTCAAAAGATTGTGCCTCAAACTAAACTTTGATTTCAGAAATACATTTTATTTTTACTTCTTGTGCTGGACAATGGGGACCTATTACAGTGCCTTGCGAAAGTATTTGGCCCCCTTGAACCTTTCAACATTTTGCCACATTTCAGGCTTCAAACAAAGATATAAAAATTACATTTTTTGTCAAGAATCAACAACAAGTGGGACACAATCGTGAAGTGGAACAAAATGTATTGGATAATTTAAACTTTTTTAACAAATAAAAAACTGAAAAGTGCAGTGTGCAATATTATTCGGCCCCCTTGCGCTAATACTTTGTAGCGCCACCTTTTGCTGCAATTACAGCTGCAAGTCGCTTGGGGTATGTCTCTATCAGTTTTGCACATCGAGAGACTGGAATTCTTGCCCATTCTTCCTTGCAAAACAGCTCGAGCTCAGTGAGGTTGGATGGAGAGCGTTTGTGAACGGCAGTCTTCAGCTCTTTCCACAGATTCTCGATTGGATTCAGGTCTGGACTTTGACTTGGCCATTCTAACACCTGGATACGTCTATTTGTGAACCATTCCATTGTAGATTTGGCTTTATGTTTTGGATCATTGTCCAAAATCTCCGTCCCAGTCTCAGGTCTTTTGCAGACTCCAACAGGTTTTCTTCCAGAATGGTCCTGTATTTGGCTCCATCCATCTTTCCATCAATTTTAGCCATCTTCCCTGTCCCTGCTGAAGAAAAGCAGGCCCAAACCATGATGCTGCCACCACCATGTTTGACAGTGGGGATGGTGTGTTACTCCTTCCATTTCAATATAATTGCTTGCACAGTGCTCGTTGAGATGTTTAAAGCTTGGGAAATCTTTTTGTATCCAAATCCGGCTTTAAACTTCTCCACAACAGTATCTCGGACCTGCCTGGTGTGTTCCTTTGTCTTCATGGTTCTCTCTGCGCTTTAAACAGAACCCTGAGACTATCAAAGAGCAGGTGCATTTATACGGAGACTTGATTACACACAGGTGCATTGGATCATTCAAATTGGATCATTCAAAGATCCTCACTGAACTTCTGGAGTGAGTTTGCTGCACTGAAAGTAAAGGGGCCGAATAATATTGCACACCCCACTTTTCAGTTTTTTATTTGTTAAAATTTTTTAAATTATCCAATAAATTTTGTTCCACTTCACGATTGTGTCCCACTTGTTGTTGATTCTTGACAAAAAATAAAAATTTGATATCTGTATATGTGCTTACGCCAGCCCAAGGACCAAACCTTCAGCGGCTGCTCCATAGCAGACTTTTACTTCTAATCTAAAGACACATTTGTACGCCTTTGGTTTTTAACACCAACTGAGTTTTACTGTATTACATTTTCCATGTATTTGTGTGTATGTTTATTACTTGTATTTCTGTGTACTTATTTTCCTTTTTTTCTGCATGTGAAGCTCTTTGAGCAACTGATGCTGTGTTTGCGTGTTCTCCCTGTGTCAATTTTTCCACTACCACTAAAACAACCAATGAAGCTTAAGATAATTCCAGGGTATTTATGGCAGTAGCTGTTCATTGATACTAAATATTCTGGCTTTTTAAACCAATATTGACTATTCTATATTTCTTAGAAAGGCTCCAACTTCATACACTCTTGAATGCTAGTGAACAAGAACTCCAGTCTGACAAAAAAAAAATCTGATGCAAATAGTGACAAACTGTCCCATAAACCTTTGCTCCAGTGTTACTGCTGTTACCTGTGCTGTTATATGATTACCTTACTTTTTAACTTTTGCAAACCAAATGTCTTGTTGCAAAACCCTCAGTGACCACAGCAGCATGGCGTCACATGCCAAATACATTAACACAATCTGCCTGATAATCCAGAAATGAGCCTTGGAACAATTCTTCAAAGCAGAGAGATTCAGTCGTGTGGAACACACCAAGTCCTATCAAAGTCCTAAATCTCTTCCTCTGTAAATCCATTTAGCATGCTCTGCCCCGCTCCGTTAGGGGGACCGTGACTGCCCCTCACTCTACCATCCCAGTGTGGCTAAATCTGAGCGCTCTGAGGTTTTCTTCTCTCCAGGAGTCCTCTCAGCAGGCTTCCTCTTGCCTGATAAGCCTGTTGGACACCCATCAGGTGCTGAAGGGGAGCCAGTGCTGGCCCAGGGAATTACAGGCCCTTAGAAGGCACAGGATGACCTATAATATGGGATCATAGGTCTGGATGATCATGGGGTCCACAGGACATCAGAGCCACAGGTCACCCTGTTCGCTGACTCTCTTCCAGCAGCTTGAACAGAGAGACAACGGCTTGAGCGGATGAAGCTCTGTGTGCTGACATGATGTGAACATTTACTGCTTTAGTGAAATCTTCATCAACCAGAACTTTAATGTAGTTGGGAGTTGCACATATTATGAAATGTGTCTATTGTGGAATGTCAATTAAAGCTGCACTAACTGACTTTATTTTTGTATTCATTACAAAAATGCTATCCATGTCCATGTAGTGCATTGGGATATACGACCTTTTGAAGAAAAAGTAGCGCAGATTTGTGCTGGCGTGACATTATATTTTAGATCGAGTTTTGATGAAACAAGGAAGAGAATGTGTTTTGGGTCACAGATTGTGACCCAAAACACCAGCGAGTCTGCTGCTTCAAAATCCCAAAGTCAGTTAGTGCAGCTTTAATTAAAATGAAGTTGTGGCCACTGGTTCAGATGGAATTGTGTATTGTTTACTATTCTTACATAGTTTTGTAAGGGCAAATGGGGATCGGCAGACTTCAGGACAGCCAAAAGCGAACGACCAACCCATCAGACCACCACTATCTTTTTCTCTAATGCTTGATCAATTAGAAACAAAAAATACTTCAAAATTGCTGTGGCAGAGGGCTTTTAGCCACTACTTCTGCATGATTTTGGTTGGACAGTATTCTGGATGAAACAATGAAATTGTTTCATCTTTTAAAACCTGTTTTAGACCGTCAAGAATCACTAATATGAATGTAGGAACTCAAGCAGCTTCCAAAACAGTCAAGCTCTGGAGAATCTTCTTTGCACTGAAGGTAGGTACTGCACGACAACTACTTCATTTACACATTAGTTTTACAAATGCATCCACCCTTCCATAAATACTGTCGTCCTAAAACCATGCCCCCCTCTCTCCTTCACTGCCCTGCAGATTAGCCCCCTGCCCCCACTTGTCCAAACTACTACCCCTCTTGCCCTATTATCATATTTGATCCAACTGGTCACCCCTCCTAAATCCTTTTTCTTACCCTCCCGCATGCACCACCAGCAAGGCATGCCCAGCCCTCACAGAGGAGAGGCGGAGGACAGAGAGGCTGTGGCTTTGAGTGGCGAACAATCTGCCAGGGAGACGAAGAAAGCCCTGGCACTCAATTAAGAGCTGCCCATTGAGCCTGCAGAGTGAGCCTGAATATGGGCCCCTCCAAAGGAATGAGGTCCCATGAATAGATTGCGGCCCTTCATGAAATATTAAAGAGTGCATGGATTTCCCACAATATTTGTACACCTCCCTTTGTGAGGATTTCTCCCTCCATTGAGCCTGAAACTGTTAACACATCCGCTCTTCTGAGGCACGGCTGCAGACCGCACCTATGGCGAGATTTTTGCTTTGGGAAATCACTGCTTTATTTGTCATTTTCATTCTATATTACCAAAAGCATTGTAAATGACAAGTTACTTTGCTCTATGAAATTTAAACAACACGTCATTTATGAAACTGGAAAGAATTTGCTATGTTCAATAATTTGTGCTTGTCAATTATGTGTATGTCACTTCTGATTATGTGCTATTACAAATTTTCAAACAAAATGGTAAATGTCTATGTGGCTTTTATCATCTATGGCACTGTATATAGTGAATAATGTGAACTATATAAAGCCACTCAGATAAGCAATTTGTTATTAGATCTACCATCAATAGAGCACCCACAATTTCAAGGACTCATCATCTGTCTCTGATGTCCCTTCTTTCCTTATTTCTTCTCATCAACACATCCCTCTACACAGAAGTTATTCATGAAGCGGATTACTGCACTTTTAATGACCACCTGTTCTCACGGCTGCGCTGTTGTGTCATGCCAGGCCGAGCAGCAAGCATCTTCCTGGTATTAGGAGGGTCACAGCGCTAACTACTGACCCCTGTCTTGACAAACACACCACTGGCAATCCAAACCAGTACCACAGGCCTCTCAGTACCTCTTTGTGAAATATCAACAATAGAAGACTTTGATAATCTCTTATATATTGTCTTTTAATAGTCAAGTCAAGTCAGTTACATTTTTAACTGGCTTTTCTATCATATTTACAATTCAACAAGAAACCCCATGGCAAATATGCTCAATGCTAAGAAATGCTATTAAAAGATCTACTTTTACATTCATCTCTTCAATTAACATTTATTAACGTTTAAAATGTATTTTACACCTATAAGGTTTCTCATAGACTTAAACATAAACTTTCGATCTACAAATAACATGAATTTCTAAAATGCATCTAACTAGTCTGCTGCTCTCAAAACAATTTGGTTTATCACTAGTTTTCAAGCTGTATGCATGTTAGAGAGTTGCTTTTTAGACAGAAAAGTGAAGACGAGAGTGACACTATTGCTCAGTGTCTGATTGACTTCCTGGGCTCTTTCTAACACGTGTGCAAAATATAAAATGTTTTTTATTAATATGATAAAAAACAGAACACTATACTTGTACAAGAAACTTTAGTTGAGACAATGAGAAAATAAATTATTTATGAAAACAAAAGTAGATACGCCAGCTTTAGGATACACTCAGAATTGTCGTCCTGAGAAGACTGAGGTCCTTTGATGTGAGCAGTCAGATTTTGCAAATTTTTTACCAGTCTGTGGTAGCTAATGCCGTATTATTTGGGGTCGCGTGTTGGGGCGGCAGTCTGACCTCCAGAGACAGTAACTGGCTCGACAGGCTGATCAGGAAATGTGTCTCTGTGATTGAGAGAAGTGTGGACTCTGTGGGAGCTGTGCTGGAGAGAAGGATGAGGGCTCTAATGCAGTGCATCCTGGGTAACTCCAGACTCCAGACACCTTCTGCATGACACTATGGCCGCTCAGAGGAGTAATCAAAGCAACAGGCTTATATCATGGAACGTTTCAAGAGATCCTTTGTTCCTTTGGCTGTCAGACTGTACAACAAACCTGGATGAGTCTTCTGCTGCTGAACACCTGAATTTCTCCTATAGGGGATCAATAAAGAATCCATCTATCAATCTATCAATACAATATAATGATATAATATTTTCACTCTCTGGAGGCCCTGTCAGTACATTTTGACATTTACAGCCAGCTAGTGAAATGTAATTTGTTTTTTAACTGTTTTATAGATCACTTGCCTTTTGTGTCTGCTCCCCACATTTCTCTCCTTCTGTCCATCCGTTTCTATCTCTTTCACAAACATGGCCCAGGATGAGGTTGAGTGGGCTTGTATAGAGGGCCAGGGCTGGGTGGTTAAGTAGGTGGTTAAAATTGTAATTAGCATCAGAATGACCTCATATTTGTGTCGGGAGTCGACATTAGTTCATGTTGAATTGCTGAACTCTCTCTCACACGCAACAGAAGTGGACTTCTACACACCAGTTTGATGAAGCATCAAACTGCTTAATTAACCCCCGTTGACAAGGACATTATGATATTATGTAAAGTAGTCAGTATCAAAGGGTTCACTATACCCCTTTAGAGCTATATAAACTAATATAGTAAACAAACATTTTAAGAGATTATTCCAAACAAATCATACCACAACATACTGTCTTCATCTTGTCTTCATTTCTCGACAATCTTGTTAGGAAACCAGTCATCTTTGGCATTTTGTCACAATTTGAATGTTCGGGCTCACAGGCACAAGACACATGCATGTAAAACTGCTTTGAGAGTGAGGAGATGGTTGTATTTCATACATAAATTTTATTTTATTTGGAAGTAAGTTACCACAGCTTTAAATAAAAGTGTATCGTTATATGGATATTTTATAACAATATAGCAATTTTGGTCAAATCTAAGCTTGGCAGCTGCTAATTGGAGCGTCTACGATTCATCTATGCTTGAAAATCACTTGCATTCTGAAAATCTTTGGTCTTGTCATTTTAACATCAATAAAACTTCTGTCTTCTGTCTGTAACTCCAGACCCCCGCATCATTTTCTTCAGTTATGATTCATGTCAACTTGCCCATTGTCCCAATCAACGTTCGTTTATTTTAAAGTGACATCATACCGAGATCCAGGGGAGGGAGAAGTGGAGGGATGTGTGAAATAAAAACATAGACTGTTGTTTCCTAATACTTAGAATGATTTAACCTCATTTTGTACACCCCCAGGCGACCATGTGGCCGTATGGGACCTACTTGGCCACTCTAGCAGCTCCCCAGCTGTGGAGCACATGGCGGGGCATCCCCTCTGCTCTGTCCCCCATATGCCGGGGTCCTGGGTCCAGGCTGTGATTGCGGCTGCAGCACATGGGAGGGCAGCCGGGGGTCTCTGTATGAGTTAGTGGAGTGGTGGAGGGAGGGGGGACAGTGGTCTCGTATTGTAAAGGGCAGGACAAGAGCTGAGCAGGCCGCAGCGGGAGGGAGGGGTGTGCTTTCTAAAGAGTGATCAACTAGGGCTGCTTTTCTCACAGCCGGCTCGCTTTAACTGCTCTGTAACTCCTCCTCATGTGTCCAAGTCCCCCTCCAAACCATGTCAGATTGATACACTGGTTCATATGTGATCTCCTTGACTTCTTGTATGAAACTTGGTGCTATTTGTGGCCTCCTCGCCTTCACACCCGTCCATTCAACCTTCTGCCACACCAGATTAAACCAGAGCTAGCACGTTTTGTCTTGCGATCATCTTCTCCACATCAAAGTCACTCATGAGTGGATGGTAAAAAATAGGAAGGGGGCCACGGATGAGACAAATCTCTTTGGCTTTTTAGCTGAACAATGCTTCTCATTTGAATGTGGCCTATATATTGGTGATCAACCTTTTGAATGGTGCCCCTGATGAAGTGTTGTTTTTGACTGGAATACCAAAAGCCCCAGGGATACATTTTCCTTGTTTTGTCTTTCACTTCAAAGTTATCTGCAAAGGGACATGTCAGTCTAAAGAAATCCGCTCAAATGGATGTTGTTTACCAAGTCAATCAGCATCAACAATGCGGTCACCATGGCGTTAAACATAAAGCATTTTTAGGCATGAAGCTTGTTTTCAGCCTGGACTCCTTGTAATGGGACAAACATTTCTCTAACTTTTGTTTCAGTGGAGACAGGGCCCCTCTGCTTTAGGTTATGAGGCACACCCCACCGGGCATTTACATATATGATCATCCTGTTTTTGTTCGCAGTCATGCATTGTGACTGTTGCTTATAATTGATAACATCTAAGGGTCATGCAGTTCATTCAATTTCAAGTTTGCAGTTCATGAGAATGTTATAGTACAAACCCACAACTAAGAAATGGTTGTGGGTTTTTGAAAGATAGACATCTAGACTAATCAAGAGTCCTTTAAAAACTGAATAAATTGTTTGTGCCTGGGAATTCAGATGCATAGACTTTTCCTTCTTTATAATACAAATAAGGGATGTGTGAAATATTTTCCATTGTGCATTGGTTACAAAATACAAATCTGATTAAGTCATACAAATAAGCATAAAATACATTAGCTATCGTTTAAAAATGACTTTTTGCAAAAAATAATAATTCTCACCCGGTTTAGGTTTTCGAAACACATTGTTACAATTTTTGTCGTAAATTTTATATTATGATATTAGATTTCTACAAAAGCAACAGTTTAAATTTAAGACCGTGAGAAAAATATAATCAAATGTATTTTTACAGTGTATGTAAACATTAGATTTCCTTTATAGATCTATGGCTCTATCTAAATGATCTGGGCACTGCTGCCCTCTTCTGTCGCTTAATATTATGGGTGAGATGGGCCACATTGAGCATCGGAAATATGACAAGAAAACAAATGAAAACCTATGTGTGTGTTACCCCCGTCATAGGGTTAGGGGGGGGTTTTCTTTTATTGTCCTCTTTGGTAAAGGATAGACCTTATTTTTTTTACACATTATAATAAACTACTCAGTTCCACCTGTCAGGAATGAAGCAGACAGAGACGGATCGTGGTGCGCCAAACTCTGGAAGTTTATTTAAGTTTCTCTCAAGTTCCAGTTGTTTCCATTGTTTCCTTCTCTCAGACAGAATGGAGTCAGTACACAGTTTATATAGTCATTGTCACGTCACACATCGAAAGACATACGTGTCACACAGAGACAGTCACATCATAGTCAAAACATGGAGTCATCATCAGAGTCCTTGTACAGTCCTGCACGTAGGCCATATTGCTATCTAATACTAACACACCATTTAATGCACGGAGAGCGGTCGGTGATTTAGTTCGAATTTGGATGAGCTACATGAAGAATACGCCTCATGCTGACAAAGTGTCGTTTAGGGGGAAATATTTGAATAATACGTATATGCTCAAAAAAAATAAAAGCTTTTCAAATACAAATACTGTAGGCCTTTATGGCCAGTGGTGTGAATAATTTATTATGTTTACAATAATAAATTATATTTTGGAGTTAGTGTAACTGAATTGGTAGTTAGGATCAAAGTAAAGTTACATGGAAAAGTGCACATTTTCATTACATCTTACTGTATATAATTATTTGAGGAAATTAAGATTATAGTTATATAGTAACTCAGACACTTAAATAAAGAATATAGTTACAATCTGCACACAGCGTTTCATGGTTTTTCCTTTTGCAGACGTTTGCGTGCGTCACCGACTGACTGGTTTCTGCTGCCCTCTTCTGTCAATACGGGGTACTACACGTACAAGAAGGTATGTGATGTGGAAACATGTTGTAAATTATCCTTTGAAGTTTTATAGATAACCAGGTTATAATCTATAAAACAATATGATTTAATTGAGAAAACCACATAGTTATTTTTCAAACCATTGGCTGAAAACATGTTTTTGAAAAAACAAAAACCATGTTGAAATATTGTGGATAATATTAACAATGCATTGCTTTTGACACTTCACACAGCATTATTCATTCTTTATAGGCAATAGTGGAAATCTACCGCTGTAGCCACAGGTGCCCTGGTGTAGACTGACAGACTGACGGAAGCAAGACACGTAATCTGTGTCATAAGATCCTCTGATCCGATTTTATTGTCAATGTTTCTGATTTGTTTTATTATTGGTTTTATAATATTTATTTTATGAAGCGTCTTTTAGAAATGTTGAGAAGTGCTATATGAATAACATTAATAGTTAAAACCCTCAAAATGACCAATCTGTGTTACAATTAGAACATTAGTACTAATGTATATATGTATGTAATATTAATTGCACAACTAACCTCTGTAACATTAGGACTACACTGCAGTACCAACTCATCTGGTCAAATCAGATTTCTGCCACTGAATTTCAACAGATATCATTTGTCAGAGACGCATCAGTGGCTCCTCGTTATCTTCACCATCGGCTTGTGATACCAGCTCAGTGGCAGCAGTCAAGAGCATACCACAGACAAACCAAAGCATGACAGCGGGGACACCTGTGGCAACAACACGTCAAGCAGGAACTTATAAAAACACACTTTTTACACTGATGGTGACAGCAAGTTTTAGGGGTTTAATAGTTAAATTAAATGTTTATTGTGTTTATTCTCTTCCTTTCCATGTGTTGTGCTATTGCATCTTATTCAAATCAAATTTGTCATCAGTATTACAATTCATTTTTGATTGTGATTGTAATTAGCGGACTTATTGTAATTAAACAAAATGGCAGGATATACAGTAAAAGCTTGGATATGTTTTGGAGGAGTTGTTGCTTACAGAAAAGGAGCTGTTGAGAGGTGATGACAGCACTTCCTCAACAAAAACATGGGTTAGTGACATCATGTAATTTAACCACACCTTTCCAGAAAAGAGATCTACGAGGACAGAGAGTGCCAAAAATGTAATTTAACAGGTTTATGTTCTGTCCTGTTTTTTATTCCATTTTGTGTTTTGGAATCATAAACAAAAGGCAGGACAATTTTCTTAGGATAGGATAAAATAAATTATAAAAAGTATACAACTACAAACACACACATCGTGCACATGCTGCATTCATTTAGCTATTTATGCCAACATTTTAGGATTGATCAGTATTATCCGTCAGACCTGAACAGACTAGCATATATCGAGCATGAAAGGAATGTTTGATTTTCCACGCCATGATGCCAAACAGTCAGTTTCTTATTGCAAGTCAGTATGTCTTTGTTGCTTGATTGATCCTGAAATTATAGGCTAGCCAAAATAGTTGGCAAAATGCTACTATTAACACAAATTTTATTTTTGAGAACTACTTTTGTTATATTTTTTCCCATGACCCACTCCTTGCACTCATGAATTTAATCAATGCCCCTTCTACACTTCTATATTGGGATCTTGCTGCTCAATGGACAGAGCTCACTGATGTTGGTGAGCTCTCTAAGCTTCAACTTCTGTCTGCAGCATGGGTGCCGAAAACTCCTCTTATGTTGTGTGTTTGTTCCTATCCATAATTGGTGTACAGTTTTATCAGGGAGGCAGCATCTCAGCAGATATGCCTCACTTGCATTGTGATTAAAAAGTGCACAAATGGTTAAAATTCCATAATGCACATTGCATGTATTTCAAACAGAACCAGGTAGACTGAAAGAGTCCTTTACCCAGCTGTTGTGATTTTGAGATAAAATAAACATATTTGATTCTGTGTAGAAAATGTAGATGTGTATGAATTTGCTTGTGCTGCAACTATACTGAAATATAGATAAATAATTGCTTTTGAATGAGCGGATTATATCAGACTTCAAGTGTATCAGTGTATCAAGTTCAATACAACTACATTAACTAAAAGAAATACAGACATTAAGACACACAGACATATATTTACAAAATCAACAATGTATTCAAACATTTCTCTGTCAACCTCAACCCTAGCATAATTCGCTTTTACATAAAATCCATCATCATAAAAGCTGAGATAAAAGTCTTTCTGCTTTGAAGTTTTCAGGTGTGTTGGTAAATATTGCCAGATGTGCTCAATGTAACTTACTTTAAACGGGATACTTGGGAGAAATGCGCTTTGATTGCATGGGAAAATTTGATAACATTCCATTCCCAGCCAATAGAATCCATCTTCAACTTGATACTTGTAGTGTGAGAACTCGGTATACATCAAAGTTCAAAGCGCACGGTGATTGTGGGAGGAGTGTGCACCTGCAGACAGCATTCTCATTCACACCAAGACATCGTGGATTACGCACCTGAGCCATGGACGCGATAGAGATGTGTGCAGCCGAGGATAGAGCGCAACTTCTGGACATCAGTACCAACTCTCCCCCGGAGCCTCGTCAAGGTGCACAGGAGAAGCCGCCCTACTCCTACGTGGCTCTCATCACCATGGCCATAAAGGACAGCCGAGACAGAAGACAGACTTTGAGTGAAATTTACGAATTCATCTCTTCCCGGTTCCCCTTCTACGAAAAGAACAAGAAAGGATGGCAAAACAGCATCAGACACAACTTGTCTCTGAACGAGTGTTTTGTGAAGGTCCCGAGAGAGGACGCGCGGGACAAGAAGGGCCACTACTGGATGCTGGACCCCGCGTTTGAAGACATGTTCGAGAAAGGGAACTACAAACGGAGGCGCAGAGTGAGGAGACCGTACTTTACGCCCCCAGTGCCATACCTGTCCGGGGCTACAGTGGACTACGATCCGCGGTACCTGCCAACCTGTGCGAACAACCATTGGAGCCAGACGCCCGGCTACCACACACCAGCAAGCCTGACCACCAGCGGAGCGCTCAACTCCTTCTCTCCCTCACACTATTGGCATCATATGGCCTACGGGGGGTTTCAACACCCAGCCCTGGCCCCCCACAGCAGCTGTCCTTATGGCGGAGTGACGCAGGCCGCGAGTCCCGAGGCACCCGGAGTCTCAGTCGCCTGCAGCTACCACCAGTTCACGTCTTTCTCGGCGTATCAAAATGCTCAACTTTACAATTAAAATAAGCCAAATGTCTGGGATTTTGTTCAAAGTTTGTTTGAGGTAGGCCACGGTTAATTGATTAAAAACTGTGTTCATTATTTGTGAGCCTGTCGACGTTGGACTATTAAGTAAAATAACTCTACCAAAGTGTGTTAATCAAGTTCTGTCATACTGTGTTAGCACTTTGTAAAGGACTGGATGTGTTATTTCATGTTTTGTTTCGCCCTATTCAGGAACTGCTATGCAATATGTTGATCATACTAAAGCACTGAAAGATGAAATCACAGAATGTTTACAATAAGTAAATTATGTTCTGCTCTGCTCATGTTATGTTTGTTAAATAAACTATTTTATTTTAGCTAATCTCTTTCTTTATAGGTTGACTTAAACACTTGAAAGGCTAGCTAATAAGCTAGCTAGTCAAAGTTGTTTGTATTTGGTATTATGGTAAGCAGTTGAACAGTAGTGTTAGTGTTAAAGCCTACAAGTGATTCATAAATAGTAACATATACAAACTATCTCGAAATTACCTTCTTTAGTTTGATTGTTTTGAGGAGCGCGCGTGACAGCGTGGACTGTGGAGCACTCTGTTGTCAAGGGAACGATGACGTGTTTCCGTTTCCGGTCGTCGGGCCGGAACAAAAGAGTAGCCTTGCCGCGTGCATGCTCGCGCTGGTTTCGCGGTTTCATACTCATAGTACTGTCTATGGTTTCACTAATGATCGCCGCAGTGTAGACGTCTACAGAGTCCTTTGTGTTTGCTTTAGACATGGAGGCGTTTAATCAGCTCCTGGTGGAGTATCCAGAACTCATGTTTAGCGGAATGGGCGCTACAGCAGTGGTGGCTGGAGGAGCGCTCTTCTACAAACTGTCCTTCAGGTAACTTCACTGGACTCACATCTGTGTCTTTGCTAAACTGTTTGTTTATGATTGGATTGTCCATTGTTCATAATCCTCACCGATGTTTGGTGAGGTTGATATTGTTAAAGTCTAAAGAAGTTATCATTAGCTAGCCTCAATGCTAAGCTCACATATTTTTACTGTGCCTGATTGGGTTATTAGTTTGCCTTTTACATTCGATCCATAATGAAATATTATTCATTTTCTTCAAAGAAAGAAACCGTCTCATGCCAATGTGAACTGCTGGTTTTGCAATCAGAACACTGTGGTGCCCTATGGAAACAGGAATTGCTGGGACTGTCCGAACTGTGACCAGTATAATGGCTTTCAGGAGGTAAATTTTAACTTCTTTACACTTCATTTGAACCTTGATTTTAAGTAGTGTTGATCTTGTTTGATTTTAGAATGGAGATTACAACAAACCTATACCTGCCCAGTACATGGAGCACCTAAACCATGGTGTTTCTGGGAGCCATCCTTCACCAGAGCCTCCAAAGACCTTGCAGTGGGTGAACTGTCAGATGCTGCTTTGCCGAAAATGCAATAATAACCAAACCTTAAAGATCAAGCAGCTAGCCTCATTTATACCAAGAGATGATGTATGACTTATTCTATTTGCAAATACATGTTTTCTTCCTATTTTAATTTATGTTTATGTTTTAGGAAAATTATGATGAAGAGATTGAATCCTACAAGCATCATCTTGAGCAGACATACAGGTTGTGTAGGCCATGCCAGGCAGCTGTGGAGTACTATATTAAATACCAAAATCGTCAACTGAGGACTGTACTTCTAAACCATCAACTTAGGCGCAGCCGTGACACTGACAAGGCTTTTGTAAAGGTCAGTTTAACAAAAAACGTATTGCTGCACCATAAATGTATGGGAGACCCAAATGTTTGAATCACTTTTTAATGCAAATGTTTTGTCTTCAGAGCCCTTACGCTGCATCATGCCCCTCAGTGGTAATCATCTTGCGGATACTTGGCTTTCTAATTTGCGCCTTCTTGTTTGCATCATCGTATACCCCTTTGGCTGATCAGTTACCTACTGATGCAGTCACTCCTCCACAGCCTGCTCTCAACCAGTCTAAAAGTCAAAGCAATGATACTGTCCATGTTTGGGAAAGTCTGCTTCATTGGTTTCCAGAAAAGACACTTGAAAAGACCCTTGAAAAGTCTAAGGCCGCTCTCCAGTATGCAAAAGAGAGTCAGATGGGTGTTGTAGCGCTTGGCCTTTTGACTTGTCTCACTGGTATCTTCCTTGCAGGACCCACAAGGTAAGACCCCACCCCCCCTACAAACATGCCTAAAAACATTTTAATCTAAATTGGTTTTCTTTTCAGGTTGAGGAGAATTGATGCCTTGGCGTCTGTTTTGTGGTTTCTTATCCTGTGTCTTTACATTCCTGAGAGCTTCAGCGTTGATGTCTCAGACTGGCAAGATACAGCCAAATTCTGTACCGTCTCCACCTGTTGTCTGGTCAGCTTTGGTGCAGCGGTGGCCACCCATAGACTGCAGGGTTCAAGAAGAGGCAGATACCGAAGGTCAGAATCTGAGTAATGATGTTCACTATGGGTGACGTTTGGATTAGTATTTCACATGCTGACTTTTATGCATCACATCTGTATGTATGTCCATTACAAACCCATAGTTAGTACTTCTAAAAGCCACACTTGCCAGGAACCTAGGGCTTGTGATGGTACATGATTTCTTTCTTCACATTAAATCATGGTTGAATCTTGTCAAACTCAACATTCAGGGACTGGGGGCAAATCTGAGGAATGAGTCCTGTTATGTGTTCTGAGGAACATTTTTGACACTGCACTTTTCTAGTGAGTGTTTTTATACCATCACATTTGAATTATTTTATATTTATATATAATGCTAAATACACAATAGTAACTTAGTTGTTGGTTAAGCACTTTTAAGTATTTGTTTTCTTGCACTGAAGCAAACATTTTGCCCAGCTCACTAATGTCTTGCATGCGGCTGTCGATCGTTTATTTATTTTTAGCAAAGGTTATATAATGTGAAACTGATAAAATGTCTCGTGTCTGTAGATAGAAAGGGATGTGTGTCCTGTAAATGGAGTTGTGTTCTCATTTGAAGTGTCTTGGTGAGGTTTATTGAGTTGATTTTGACAAAAAATGCCAAGCTTGATAATACTTGTAATTCTACTGATAATGGATACTAATAGATGTTTCTGTATTATGAAAGTGTGACAAACTGCATCTTGGAACAAAATGGCATGTTTTTTTTGCCATTGCCAAAGTGTTTATGCTACATGATTTTTTTTTTTATTATTTTGTATTACGTAGTCATGTATGGTTGGTGACTCATAAGCTAGAATCTTGGTAGCTGCTTGATGTATGTCATTTGCATGTGAACATATGGCCTTATACTGGTGCCAAACACTACCTGTTCCTGAATGTATTAATTACTTTGTGAGTAACCTTTTTAAAATGTGATCCAGTGTTTAAGCGATGTGTAGAAGATGACATGAAGGGTGTGATTACAGTGCCCCTCAAAAGTACTAGTACTTTGAACTTATGTACATGTTTACAACCATAAACAAAGATTCACCGTTCAAAACAAAACAGGATCATATAAAATGTTGTTATTGTTGTCTGTTACTTGTGTGTGAAAGTCTTTATCTAAATGGTTATGGTTGTAACAAAAGTTCAAGGTGTATTAGTACTTTCAAGATGCACTGTACTTTGATGGTATTTGTGTTCACGAACCTTTTTTATGCATAATCACTTTTTTGTACTCCTAACATTGAAGGAATAGTGTTATGGACTTTTCTCTATGAATTTGGAAGTGTTATATGTAAGAAAATATTAAACGTAATAAACATTTAGAAAAAAAAACATGGATTTTCTTTGTTTTGCATATGTGTTTTATGTATATATTTTTGTGGTTACATTTTTTTTTACAAGCTCATGCATGCAGATAGAAAAGCACAAACTTGTCTTGCTTGAAGCCTTTGTTTGCAGCTGCCAAATAAGTGACAACTGCAGCAGCCACATGCCAACTCTGACCAATCATTCCACACAGTTCTCAACATTCTTGCCATATGTATTTGTGCTGACTTCTCACATCACCATAGCAACACAGATGTTCTTTGTGTTTACATTACAATATTACTGTTTTCTGTTGTAGACATATACATTTTGTTTTTCAGATATTTTTCCAGTGGCTTCCAGACTCCTTTTCCTGTTGACCAGACAGATGCCATTGTTCTGACTCCTCCACCAAATCTTTGTAAACTCATAAACCAACACCAGTTCATAAACCATCACAGGAGTCCACGGGAGCGCAAGGCCTCTCCCACGTCTCTGCCGGGCCGCCTCAACAGGGCACTCAGTCTGGGGACCATTCCAACACTCACACGCACAGGTTAGTAAGTGCTTTGGGGATGATTGTATGCAAAGTACGAGGTAATAATTTAAACGAACACTGTGTTGTATCAAGTGATGGAAAGAATCCTTTGTTTGACGGGTTTGTTAGCAGTTCTTTGGTGACCTCTAGTGGTAGTATTGGGGCGCTCGTTGAATCCATATGGATGCTACACTAGTACCGAGACGTGTTTATGCTCTCAAATTCCTAAACTTTGGACAAATTAAAACTACATTTGCGAACCCTTTGTAGCACAAAGACATTTTTGGACGCTTTGTGTAACCGAGGCCATTTCAGTTTTGGTCTCTGACACATTTACATTTACTAATAAGTAAGACTGATCTTTACGCAGAGAAAGCTCAATGCCCACCTACATTATCCGCGGAAAATACTAAGGAGGGCATAGCTGGAGTTTGGGTATAGAATTTAATTTCAGAACAAGCAAATGTTGGCTTTTAACAAATCTCCATTCACTTTTAGACATGTCGTGACAATTATGTGATATTAGAATTCTTCCCCATATGTTTGTTTTGACTCTAAATAAGATGATATACCTTTTTTATTTTCTACCATGTATATTTAAGTGTTTAGGTTCAGTTTAATTGTTAAACCAATTTATTCTTGATTGAATTATCATTTTGTAGATTCTGGATGTCTGTTCAGTGGAAGTAGGCCATCTTCGGTCTACAACTCCCCATCTTCAGGTTAGTTGTTTTTGGTTTTGTTTTGTTTACATTTATTCAATATGTCTAATTCAATTTACTCCTTACAGATTGCTTTTCACTCAAATCTGGAAGCCGGCCGTCGTCCCCTGCCCCATCCCCAACCCCCTCTGTGACCGGGTCAGTTACCTCCAGCTCTGGGTCAGCGCGGTTCCGTAGGCCCCTCATTAGCCCTGCGCGACTCAACATCAGTGGTCAGAAACTAAGGCTTTTCACCGACTCAGAATCCACCCTCAGGACCCCCTCAGTGTCCCCCAGAGTGTCCCCTTCTCTCCGGAGTCAGGAGCCATCGTCTTCAGTCTACAACACCTGTTTCTCTTCAGACATATTCCCCCTGCACAGTCAAACTGGTCCGTACAGCTCTTCTTTTCACTCATTTATTTGTCAAGGCCATGTACAGAAATATGGATTGTAGTGATTTGTTTTTTCATGTGGATAAGTCTCTTTGATCCCCATGTTAAATCTGGAGTACATAACGTTTGTTTTGTTTAATTTATTTTTTTGTCCAAACATACTGGAAAATTTAATCTTGTGCATACTGAGCTGATCCTCTACTTCGGACAAAACTAATCTAAAGATATAACAGAGGTCTAAATTACATGTATTTTAAAACTGGAGAGCAGTAGTTGCATGGATTGGATTTTATTACAGAAGTTTTTTTTTTCATGTTTTGAATTAATTCCATTCTTTTAGTGTATTATACTTAACATACTATAGTACTAAATGTGTACTAGATAATGTAACACTTCTACCACTAGATGGGGTTATTTGTACCAAGTCTGTTGAATCTCAATCAAAGGGATCTTAAATGTTATATAAATCTAAGACTCTTTACACTGGCGTATTTAATCAACTAGCTCAGTATATGGAATGTTCCATTTGATACAAATGATGATGTATGTGCTTTTTTCTAATGTATATTTCATATCTTGCAGATTTAAATCAAAGTTTTTGTGATGGGAGTGTGATTGAGGGGAAGGGGAGCTCTGATTCTTCTGCCTGTTTGGTTGACACGACAACACAAGGACCAGACACCAGCTCTTCAGCAAAGAGTAAGTCTGATGTATTTCTTTAGGTAAAGCATTTCATAAGCCATTTCACACTGCAGACCTGTGTTTTTGATCTGTTATTGGGGTAGTAAGCCATCAGCCCTGAGGATTCAAATGTTCACATTGTACATGTTTGCAGCATGATTCTGGGCTGAAGGTGAAGTAAAGTGAGGGTGGACACATGTGGTCCCAAATTGCACTTGTTTTTTTTTTTTTTTTTTTACAGTATTTCAAATGATTGCACTATTGCATGATCCATGCTATGGATTATCCTGCCACATATGTATATAACTTTACACTAATATAGAGATGTAGTGATTGAAGCATTTACATGTAGCCAAGAAACATAGCAGCTACTTGTATTGTATAATTTGTGTGCTCTTAATACTGTCCTTTATGTGCGTTGCAATATCGAAATGTTCCCACTGTGGGAACATTTAAGGAGTTAAAGGTTCTTGTCAGGTCGGCAGTGTTCATTATTCCTCATTGTTTATTGTACAGTCTGACAGCAACAGGAAGGAAAGACCTGCGGAACCTCTCCTTCGCATAATACACATTAAATGACCATTCACAACCAATGTGTTTACACTAAACACAGCTTGGCTAAAGACTTGGTTGAAAGTTAAGTTGAGGCAAAACAACGTGGGGCGATCAATGTAATGCAAGTGCCCAGGTTTTTGGTCGGTGTATAAGTCTTATAGGTTCCTAGTCTTGTACCTTTTAACTCTGCTTTTGAACGTGTTTTTAAATTATTCTTTTAGCATAATTTATTGGTGATAATTTGTTAAATAATAATTGTTTTTCTGTTCAAGGTTTTGGGAGACGCATTATTTGGCCGGGACTACTGTTATCTAGTCTCAGCGCAAACTTGGTCTTCGCCTGCATTTATATGTACAATAACTGGAAATGAAGTTGCGCTGCTGCTTCCAGGAGAGAGAATTGGCAGCAAGCGAGTGTGGATCCACTTCATCAGTTCTGATTTGATTTAGGATTCAAAAGGTCAGTCTTTGTCCTTCTCCAAGCCCAGAGAATGACCTGTTGCTTGCATATTGTGACACTAAAGTTGTAGCTGTTAAGTGTGCCATGACAAAGTACTGTTTTCTTCGTAATGCTGTTTAAAATGAATGTCTTAATTTCCGACACTGATTGTACTTGTTCAACTATCGACAGTAGCAAAACACCCAGATATTATGCAGCAAGCCATATATCTTGCTATGACTTTTAATCTTTTGTTTTTCATATTGTGGCAATCTAAGGGGTCAATAGTGGACAATAGTGAAATATGCACTATGAAATTGATTTTCTATAACCAACATGTACGTTACACAAATGGATTAAACGGGTCAAAAAAAGAGATGAACTATGGTCAGACTTTTCATCTACATTTGAAGTTCCACTTAAGCACATGTGGATTGTTGATGTTAAGTAAAATGTATATGTATAAATAAGTTATGTATATACTATAGATATTTGATTATGTCAATTTGTTTGGAGCAAAATCTTAAGTGCGTAAAGACACTACTGTTGGAAATTGTTGGAATTTAAGGTTTTTCAAGTGCATATTTTCTGTACTTCTGAGCAAAACGACATTTCTCAGAAGGATCAAAGATACTACTGAAAGAAAAGTACTACTCCTATGATTGTGTGTAAATAACAAAGTTGTGAAACTGTAAATATGAAGATATATCATTTTTCTGCGTATTGTGGGTAGTTAATCAAAATGTTGGATGTGTTGCATTGACTGCTTTTGTCTGTTTTGGTTTGATGCCTGAAAACAACCTTTTTAATAAATTATTTGTATCAAAATTTTTGGACCATTCATTTATTCTACCTTTTCCAAAAAATTAAATGGTAATTCTGTGCAAAAAAAAAGGCATCCATGTTTTCACTTCACTTTCAGTTTTTGCAGTGAGGAGGTTGGAGTTTCTCTTCTTCCTTTCTCTTAATCACTTCCTGATTTCTGCAGCTGCTCTCAAGAAGCTTGCTCTTGTTTATCAAATAACATGAGGATCATGTTATTTTTATGATGAACAACTTGAACTTGTATTGTTGTTTATTGCTGGTGTTTTCTCCAAGAATTCCATTTTTGTTTGTTCCACTTGATAGCAATGATAAACTCTAATGAATAACATTGTGCTGCTGAATAAGACATGAGCAGAAGTCATTCCTCTGAAAACAGAAGCTGTGCTGAGTGAGACTACCTGGAAATACGCTTGACCACTGCCTGTATTACGAGAAGGGGAAATGTCTATTTTTGCTCTGATCTGTCAAATATGCATTGTCTGAGAATAAGTAAATCTGTGTGTATAGATGGATTTGAGCTTTATGATATTGTAAATCTTTCACCTCTGTAAAATCAATTTCATAATACATGGAGAAAAAGAGGTTGAAGTATTTGGAATAAAATCACAAACAATTAAACATGAATTGGAAAATTATGTTGGTTTTCTCCATACCATTCACTCTTTATAGATAAACCAATATTAGAAGTCAAGTTAAACTTGTTTTGGCCCAAACTGTGTTGTTATATCACAAACCCATAACTGCTTTTTATTTTAACTCTTGTTACACATACTATCAAAATTGGCACTTCATAGTTCCATGCAACAGTCACAAAGGTGCATTCCTCTTGATGTGGGCACACTTTGAATCTGGCCTCTAGAGACAGACATCTGCTTTATAAACACAGATGAGTAGGCCTGATTGTATGTTTCTGAAGTTGGTCTATGTAAACTGGCCTAAACTACTAAGGTTCATGTATATTATGTAAGCCTACTACTGAAGTAATCTTTATTTATATATACCGCCTTTCACAGACCAGAGTCACAAAGCGGTTTACAATTGTTTTTTTGTTTTTTTTCTACAAGTCATGCGTTGAATGCGCTGCAGTACGAGGGCCGGCCGATAGGGGGGCGCCTGTCCTCCCTCAGACTGAAGTTGTGCAGCTGCAGCACTTAATATCACACGAGGATGGATGACAGCTCCGTGCGCACTAGCGGCCCCCGGGACAGCCGCACTGCCTAACCGGGCAACACGGCGCTCTCTGGGCCAGTTTCACATCGAATCCCGTGTCAAAAACAAGCGTGACATCGCGGCGTTGAATAGGAATACAGCCTCCATCTTTTACTGCAACAAAAGCATGAAGAGAAGGTGACCGACCGGCGCGCTGACAGGTACTGTCTGCAGTAACAGGTTGGCTTTTCATCTGAGTCTGGAGCAACATATGAATGTCATAATCTTACGCATTGCAACAACTTGAAAAAGACATGGGTCTATTGTGTCAGTTTAAAGCGACACGGCAGGTGCATGTTGGCTTGATTCTGAACAGATCTAGGTTCATACTGGACTATGCCTTCTCTAAGACATTTTTGAGTAGTTCTACAGTCTACAATCAATTATGCTACTCGATAAACCTACTTGTTTTAGAAAGAAGCATAGATAAGGATTTATCTTGTGCACTGCAATCACCTAACAAGCTCTATCACAACAACTTTCACTGTTTTGATTGTAGTCACTGTATTTCTACCTATTTCAAGTAACCTATAGGTTCCAGGCGCCAAAGTATTGTTGTTGTTTTTTTGTATTAATAAGCTTCATAAACTAATATTTAGTCTTTCTTGACAATATAAAAGTTTGTAAAGCTGCACTATTTAGCTGCCCATAAACATGTGAATAAGCTTATAATTATTATATTCTAAGTAGGGGTGGGCGATATGGACAAAATTAAATATCTCGATATTTTTTCCCAACTCCCAATAAGGATATTGTCACGATATCTTTCAAATCAATCATTTTTACACAAAATGATCTGCAATGTGTTGCTGCCAGGGCATTATAGATAGAGACAGTGTAGATCAAAATAGAAGCTTTTTATTTGTAAAGTGCTTCACACATCAAAACATCCACTGACATATATTAACATTAAAAATCAAATTCAAGTAACAAAGGAAGAACACCTCCAAATAGGCTCAATATTTACTGAAATGTACAAATAAAGCAGTGATTGGCTTTTTAGGCACACATTAGACCAATGGGCATCTTGCCTTCTCTAATTGTAATTATTATTTTGAAATAATAAAAAAGACTATAATAAGAAAAATCATATCTTCAAATTGACTTTCACAATATTATTCTCTACGATATATTTTGCCCACCCTTAATTGTAAGTAATCATAGTCAAAAGTTATATTGACACAGACTAGTACCCTTGGTTATACTTAACATAACCTATGTTTTTTTTCTCTTGTTTGGGTTCTCAGTAGCTGCAGCCGTGGAGGTGGTGCTTCGGCGCTGTCGGTAAATGCATAGCCGTCACCATGCCCCCGGGGAAGTATGGGATGCAGGAGGAGTGGGAGAAGGAGGAGAACCATGTGATCATGATGGACTTCCTGCTGCCCACTGGGGTCTTCCTCAAATTCGCTGTGTCTCGCAACGACACCATTAAAACCATCAAAAAGGTACAGATGTGATTCTTCATCCTATAGCGCTGACGACAGACACCGGGCAAGTGACACATGATTCACTGGGCATCTGCTATAAGAACTGCCCATGTCACAAATCTGCTTCAGTCCGGAAATAAGGCTCTAAGATTACACATACTGAAATAAAAATATATACAACTTCAGTATTTGCACATTGTAGCGTACACATTTGTTTCTCTCATAATTGATTTGAGGACTTCAAAATGGAACTATCTCAACATTTACTGTAGAGTACTTGCTGGACTATAGAGCTGTATATGAACCGCACCAGCTAAATTTGAAGAGAAAGTACAATTTGTCGACATATAAGTAACTTTCTGAATCGTAAAAATGTGTTTAAGGTAATGTATGGTAAACGTCAGTTTCCCCAAGGGGACATACAGAGCATTAGAATACATCAGTACATCTATATTGTTGAATTGATGATTCAATTCAATTCTGCTTCTTATTTATTTATTTATTTTTATTAAATTGTTGCTAGTATTGGAATCAGAATCAAAATATTTTTTATTGGCACGTAAGTAACAGGAAGTCACAGACTTGGAAATTGCTTTAGCTCATTGCAACAGTCAGAGAGAGATGATAATAAATAATAAAAAACACTTCTAAGGAATAAATTTAAATTTGAAAGAAGAGTTACAGTTACTATTTACAATATACAAGTACACACACAATGTAAGTGTGGGCAATACATACGGATACATTCCCTTACTCAGCCACACTCAATATGATTTCAGCCCTAAAACCATCATTCTGTAAAATATTAGATTAGATTCATCTATTCTATTCTTTTTTTGCCATTTGCATTGAAACCACCCCAGTGTGCACCATTTTAGATATGAAAGTGTTCTTGTGTGTCAGAAGAAAGAAAGACTGAAGAATAAATAAACTATGTTATGTGCCTGTTCATGTCATTGTCCTGATGGCTTCACTGATGACAGTGCTGTTATATGGGAGAAGTTAGAAGCAACTGGAGCTCTGTATCTCGGTATGAGCTGCCAAATGGGTCTAGTGTCTGATCAAATGTGCCATTGAATGTGTTAGTTTCTATGCCAACAGTTCTGTGCTCCAGCCGGTTTAAATTCTGATACTCGAAGAGGAGGCTTTAAAGACGATTAAGAGATTATATGTCGTTAGGATCTCACTAGGAAATTGTCCAAAAACTTCAGATTGACTCCTGGATGTCCTCATTGAATCACTATTAATCAAATTGGCCTATTCCATATGATCGCTTTTTCCCAAAAATATATTTTTATCTTCTCTGTTGTTAAAAGATTTTTTGAGGTCTTTTTTCTATTATGTGAATATGTGAATAAACACTTGTATATAAATGCGTTGAAGTTTTCAACAGAAATGGTAGGAATGTATTCATCATCACTCTAAAAACACTTCTTCTTTCAACCCTGATACCTTTTCTGTCTTTTGTAGTATTGTATTCTTAGAAACAAAAGGTCTAGGTTCAAAGCTCAACTCATATCAAATGTTAATTTCTTCAACAATTTATCTGATCTGTAGGGATGTGTAACACTCTTTTAGATAAAATATCGATTTTTAAATGAGGTAATATTGTTTTTTGTTGTGTTTTTTTTATATAAATTTGTATTTCTTTCTTTCAGATATTCAACATATACTGTATATGGTTTTTGTTTTGATATTGTCATTAACTAGCGTAATTGCACAAGTATCCACTTTGTAACAGACAAAGCTGTAGACGAGGTTAGTAACATTCATACAGTGAGTTTTTTGAGTTGCTTGTGTTTCAGATGGTTTGGAAGAATGCCAAAAGCGAGGCCTTGTTCTCAGCTCTTGGCGACCCCGATGCCTATGTGTTCACCTGCATCAACCAGACGGCCGAGCGAGAAGAGCTGGAGGAGGAGTCCCGGCGCATCAGTGACGTGCGGCCCTTCATGTGTGTCCTCAGGCTCGTGCCTAGGGAGGGCGATCGCGTGGAGAAGCTCACCAACGCACAAATCAGCCTGTTAATCGGAAAAGGTCCGCAACACATGCAAAACACACACTGAATATCCATGAGACAGGTTAGTTTAGGCTTTTTGTGCGTTTAAAACGTTTACGATTAGATCAGCATGTCCCTGAGTGACCAGAGAAAAGATATTTATCGCAAACACTCTTGTTAGTTTCACTTTTACAACAAGATACTAATCTAGATATTGGATAGTCATATGTATACTAGACACTAGACATTTTGGAATAAAAATGAAAACTTTATTAGAGTAGAAAAACACAAAACCAAAAACCTTTTCCATAACCCTAAAATAGTTAGACCAAGAAAGATCAAGAGCCTATCATAATAGAGGAACAACAATTTGGTATCAAAATGCAAGTGTGCGTAAATCATTGACCTTTTCAAATCTGCACAATCAAATGTTAAACTTGTACCCCAAAAGTCATGTTCAGGAATAAGGAAATAAGGAAAAATGATTTATAATTCACCTGTTCACCAATTCAAAATGACGACACTGTTCATTTGTACTGTACTTTTTTCCAGGTCTGCATGAGTTTGAAGCTCAGAAAAACCATGAGGTGAACGAGTTTCGGACAAAGATGCGAGTGTTTTGTGAGGAGAAGGCTCTTGAGCGACAGCTGTTGCCATGGCGCCAGTGGATGGAGTACAGTTTCCCGTGCGACCTGGAGCCCTGTTGTTGTCCGCCCAGTGGAAAGGCCACCAACAAGTCCAAAAACACCAAGAAAATATTTGTCAATATAAAGTTTGAGTCATCAGAGGTGAGTGCTTTCTGTGTGGAGTTTGATTGTTTCTCACTGTCTGGTTTGGTTTAGTGTGGTTACATAACTGTTTGCCAACTTAAGTGCCCAAAAAACAAAATCAACATTAATATTTATTCTGAAAAATCGACCCGGGTATGTAGGAGGTTTAAAGGATATTTTGGTCCAAGAAATGTGGTCACCATTTATTTCACATTGCTGTGCCCAAAGAATGTAAGCCCTGTAAGAGTCAAAGAAGTGCATGAGCACAGTAAAATGAAACCTGTGAACAATTCAACTAATCGCAAAGCAACCTTTTTGTTAATGTAAATTTTTTGTTGTCTTGTTTCCATCTTCTTTGCTCTTTTGGATTCTCAGGCTTTATACTCAATAGGAAAAAATGAAAAAAAGTAAATATCAGGGAATTCCCCTCAAGACCGTTCTTATTGATGAAGGTTGACATAACTGTTTGCAGGAAAGCTTCATGCTGCAGCTAGATCCCCAGGACCTGCCCATGTCTCTGGTGAGGAACGCCCTGAAGAAAAAGGCCACCGTCTTCCGCTCAATACGTCAGGAACCGGAGGACTACACACTTCAGGTCAACGGCCGCTGGGATTTTATCTACGGGGACCACCCTCTCTGCCAGTTTAAAGTAAGTTTAACTCGTATTACTGACTGTTTTGTTGGAACTTTGTTGTCAACTGTTTTCATTATGGCAATAAAGCACATTAGAGCAGTGCTTGTTGGAGCTATGCAATCAAGCGCTTTCCTCTCAGTTGTTTTTTTATTTAGTCCCTCTCAATGTACATTTTGGTTTTCTCTACTTCCCTACTAAATAGTCCTAGTTCAGCCCTATAGGATTTATTTTAGACTACAGTTTCTTAGGTGGAACTTGATGTGACAATTGAGAGCTAATAAGAAGCAAATAGGATCGAGACCAGATCAAATTGATAATCATACGGTCCAGATGACGACACATCAGCTCTGTCAGCAAACGTGACTGTTTATGTGTCACCACCAAGGCCAAGTGGCAGAAGAGAGAGATGAAGAGTGAAAGGGATAGTGAACAGTCATCCATCCAAAGTCTGACATCATAAAGGAGCAGACTAAAGACCGCTACCTTTTAAAATACAGCTGTGTCTCATATGGCTAATTTGGGTCAAAAGCATCTTTCTGCAGAAAACTTTATTGCAAGAAGGAACAAGAGACTGGAGCAGCAGGAATTAAATATATACAAAATAAACAGTGGTATTTTACAAACATTCAGAGAAACAAGCTGTTAACGCCTGGTTGTCTCAAACAACAGAGTAGACTAATATCTTGGCCTCACCTTCCTGTTTGCCAAGATGGTGTGACTTGTGTTATTTAAGGTGTCTGAAAGGCCTGTAGGTATATAGACACATGAACAAATGTATGGTAAGAGACACAAAAGAATTTTGACTTGCAATGTTTTACAATGTTTTGTTTTGTTTTTTTTGTTGTAATTCTTGTAAATAGAACAAGGAAACTTGTTTGGGCAGGTGCAATGTTCCATCGGTCTTTTGCATCTTTTTTTTCTGTAAACATGCATGTGCAATGCTTTGTAGTTTTTTCCACCTCCACAAGCACTTTTTATGGGCATGTGCAATTTACTTTCTTAATCTTCACCGCACAAGCACTTTGGACAATGTATGTACCTTGTTGTTTATTGTGTAGATATAGTGCCCTGTGTTAATTTTCCTAATGCATTATTTTCCTTGTGTATTTGTGAAACTGCTTGAATTTCTGAACATTCACCATTCATCTTACTCATGTGAACTTTGAGCTGAACCTTAGTGCTCTGCAAAAGCTTTACTTCACTGTGATCATTTCCCGTTTTAAAAGAATGACTTTACTGTTCTCATGAATATGCATTATCCTAATGTTTCTTGTGAACATCCTCATTTGTGAGAGTATTTTAGGTATTTCCTCTGTCTGCATTTTCCATTTTACTAAACTCTGAAAATTCCCTTCATGGGAATTTACGACACTTGCTGCATAAAATAAACGGTTGTATTCCTGTTTGAATGTTAAAATGTTGTGATTATTTGAAGCTCTTCAAAGATACAGAAGTAAATGGATTTTTGAACCATTCACTGTATTCTTGTATTGCCCTATATCACAACAGTTGCTATCTCGGAAGACTTTACAAAACTGTTGATTTTGCCAACGCAGATCAAATACAAGAAATGCAATGATAAAAGACACATACAGTGCCTTGCGAAAGTATTCGGCCCCCTTGAAGCTTTCAACATTTCGCCACATTTCAGGCTTCAAACATAAAGATATAAAAAATATTTTTTTGTCAAGAATCAACAACAAGTGGGACACAATCGTGAAGTGGAACAAAATTTATTGGATAATTTAAACTTTTTTAATAAATAAAAAACTAAAAAGTGGGGCGTGCAATATTATTCGGCCCCCTTGCGCTAATACTTTGTAGCGCCACCTTTTGCTGTAATTACAGCTGCAAGTCGCTTGGTGTATGTCTCTATCAGTTTTGCACATCGAGAGACTGGAATTCTTGCCCATTCTTCCTTGCAAAACAGCTCGAGCTCAGTGAGGTTGGACGGAGAGCGTTTGTGAACAGCAGTCTTCAGCTCTTTCCACAGATTCTCGATTGGATTCAGGTCTGGACTTTGACTTGGCCATTCTAACACCTGGATACGTCTATTTGTGAACCATTCCATTGTAGATTTGGCTTTATGTTTTGGATCATTGTCCTGTTGGAAGATGAATCTCCATCCCAGTCTCAGGTCTTTTGCAGACTTCAACAGGTTTTCTTCCAGAATGGTCCTGTATTTGGCTCCATCCATCTTCCCATCAATTTTAGCCATCTTCCCTGTCCCTGCTGAAGAAAAGCAGGCCCAAACCATGATGCTGCCACCACCATGTTTGACAGTGGGGATGGTGTGTTCAGGGTGATGAGCTGTGTTGCTTTTACGCCAAACATATCGTTTTGCATTGTTGCCAAAAAGTTTGATTTTGGTTTCATCTGACCAGAGCACCTTCTTCCACATGTTTGGTGTGTCTCCCAGGTGGCTTGTGGCAAACTTTAAACGAGACTTTTATGGATATCTTTGAGAAATGGCTTTCTTCTTGCCACTCTTCCATAAAGGCCAGATTTGTGCAGTGCACGACTGATTGTTGTCCTATGGACAGACTCTCCCACCTCAGCTGTAGTTATCTACAGTTCATCCAGAGTGATCATGGGCCTCTTGGCTGCATCTCTGATCAGTCTTCTCCTTGTTTGAGATGAAAGTTTGGAGGGACGGCCAGGTCTTGGTAGATTTGCAGTGGTCTGATACTCCTTCAATTTCAATATAATTGCTTGCACAGTGCTCCTTGAGATGTTTAGAGCTTGGGAAATCGTTTTGTATCCAAATCCGGCTTTAAACTTCTCCACAACAGTATCTCGGACCTGCCTGGTGTGTTCCTTTTGTCTTCATGGTTCTCTCTGCGCTTTAAACAGAACCCTGAGACTATCAAAGAGCTGTGCATTTATACGGAGACTTGATTACACACAGGTGCATTCTATTTATCATCATCAGTCATTTAGGACAACATTGGATCATTCAAAGATCCTCACTGAACTTCTGGAGTGAGTTTGCTGCACTGAAAGTAAAGGGGCCGAATAATATTGCACGCCCCACTTTTCAGTTTTTTATTTGTTAAAAAAGTTTAAATTATCCAATAAATTTCGTTCCACTTCACGATTGTGTCCCAATTGTTGTTGATTCATGACAAAAAATTTAAATTTTATATCTTTATGTTTGAAGCCTGAAATGTGGCGAAATGTTGAAAGGTTCAAGGGGGCTGAATACTTTCGCAAGGCACTGTAGAGCCATTGGTCCATAAGGGGTAGATGACCAATATAAATGTCATTGAATGTCGAGTAGAGGGTAAAGAATATGGTTGAAAAGTCTATTTACTTTTGTAACTCTAAATACAGGAGTAAACTAAGTATATGACAGACTCCTTACAAAGTGAAATATATCAAGCCTTTATTGGTTACGTTGATCATCGGCTTACAGCAAGTAAAAACCCAAAATAAAAAGTAATGCGTCTCAATCCTATCAGTTTCACATTTTAAGTTTCATTACAGAAAACGTGAGTGTCTCAAAACGTGAGTGTACTGTCAGTAGTGGGTGGTGTAGAGACATTGGTGGCAGGAGAGTCCCGTGTCGATATTGAAACCCCTTGTACCTGTAAGAGTGACTCATATCTATCAGAGCAGCAGCTGCAGCCTGGGACCTCCATCCATCAACACATAATGAGATCAGGGCTGCATTAAGCTACTGCAAATGAACAGCCTGGATGGGCTGCCACGTCACGCTTGGCAGTAAAACACTCACTGTTATAACCTGCTTCTTTGTGTCTTTCAGTATATTTTTAACTGTCTAAAAAATGGACAGAACCCTCACCTCACCATGGTCCACCACTCAACCATCACAAAATATCAGGAGGAAGACGGCCGGCTGTGCAGTCAGGTTTTTAAGAGCCGCTCTCTGTCCAGACCCCCTCCACTACCTCTTAAGAAAGTAAGAAGTCACTCAGTTCTAGCAGTGGTTTGAGCAATCTTTACTGTCTGGAGTAAAACAATAGATTTGTTTTCATTTCATTTGAGAATGTGTCTTTTTCCTATAATGATAAAGAATATTGGGAAGGACAGATCACCTGTCATTTTTAAATGCTTTATATTTTTTAGGAATATAAACCGAGAAATTCCCAGAATCCTCTGTTTATGATTTCAGTTGACCGTAATTCTTAATCTGGCTGTACTGGAACTGGTGGAACAACATGCTTACTAATTCTTGGCATAAGTTGAATTCAGTTATGGTTCTCAAGTAATACGGGTGGAAAAAAAATGTCCACCCGTTTATTTATTTGTTTATTTTTACTCATCTGATCCACAGACAGCATTGGTTTAAGTGTTCTTGCATAAGAAAGCTTTGACCCATATATTTGTTTGTAGGACACTGAATTGACAAAGTATAATGTCATCGTATTGAATCATGTTATTTTCTTTTCAGCAGAACACTTCCTCACTGTGGTCCATATCGGAGCCGTTCCATATTCACTTGGTGCAGGGGAGCAACGTAAACGCAGATGAAGGCATGAAGGTCGCTGCGGTTTGACTCCTCTCATTCAACGTAGAATAGTAGTAGTAGTCAGGGCTGGACTGGCCATCGGGCGTACCGGGCAATGCCAGAAGGGCCGATGCCCATATTTGGGCCGGTCTGTCTGCCACATACAAAAAACATGTTTGTGAAAAGTGTAAATCCGTTGAGAAATGTTTGAGGGGAGCGCGCGTGTCCGCGGGGCACCTGCTGTATGTACTCGAACGGGATTCCACCACCTCAGCGGCCGCAGTGTTCCCGCATCCAGCGGCTCTGAGCTGGACGCAGGAGCCGCTCACGACACAACACGGTGAGCGCGTACAGTAGCTGCAACGTGACCATAAACGCGCACAGGACCATGCATGTCTTTTTGTAATTTGTGCAACCAATAAATACACCGCTGCAGAAAACAGTCCGCGTCTCCCCTCTCCTCTAAATTAAAGCTCGGGTACCTAAATTTTCCATTGCATCAAAAGTTCATGTTTGAGCCCAAAAGTAAAATGGTGTGAACAGATTAAACAGATTTAGAGCCAGCTAATGGCTGACAATATGCATTTCAGAAATGTTTACTAATTCTCATCCCTGTAACAAACAATAGTGTTGTCTGTGTCACCTCCCTCACTCTGAGACATGTTTATTACTCTGTTTAATGTAGACTATTGTACTTTATGTTATTGTTGAAACTGAAGAGATCCTGATCCTCTACAGTATTTGCTTCCACATACTGTATAAACCAGGGGTCGGCAACCTTTAGTGCCCCTAAAGTGGCTCCTGGAGCCTTTTCAAAAATGTCTGAAAATGGAGTGTGAGGGCTATATTTTATTTCTAGTTTGAATGTGGTTTCTGTAGGAGGAAAAACATTCTTAACGTTTTTCAATGCTGCAAAAACTTGTATAAGTAATATTCAATTTTAACTGTGTGTGCGCATGGATCCCAAAGATAAAGAGAGTCGATAAGACTGGACTAAGAATGAGAATGAACATTTGCTTTCAGTCAATGAGGAAGGACTGCTTCATGTTTGCGATGTAATGAAAAGTTTTGTTGCAACAGGAGGAACAATGAAGCTTTAAACACTGTTCACTGAAAGATTCATTCATCATAAAGTCAGAGCACCTATTTTCAGACTTCAAAAACCTTCGCAAAGACGGTGAAAGAAAAGGCCATTAAGGACATTCAGCTCCAGCAAACTTCAGCCTGTGATGGATATGAACAGACAGTGATGCAGGTGAACTCTGAGCCAAAAAGCAGATTTATTAACTGTATTTGTACAATTGCAAGAAGGTTAAACTTAAAGCAGAGTTGTCACGTGGTGCGTCATTCTCTCCAGGACACGCTGCAATGAAAATACACATTTGATAATCATGAATGGTTTTTATGTGTTTAGCCTTTACTTTGTCATTTAGATATTAGTCTAATATAGCTAATATAGCTAATGTAGCTAATACAGCTTCAGCCCCTGTTACCTTCATATAAGCCTTATACAACGCTGTTTTCTTTTTTTTTTTTGTCAAATAGGGCTCCTTGAACCTTTTTAGTTGCCTGGGCCGCTAAAAAGGAAAAAATGCCCGGGCCGTTTTTTTGTCCCAGTCCAGCCCTGGTAGTAGTAGTAATCTTTATTTATATACCGCCTTTTCACTGCACATCGGAGTCTCAAAGCAGTTTACAATTGTTATTTTTGGGAGTGGGGGTGCCAGTACAGGAGGCACATGCCAGACCTACTGTACATATTTTTAGTGGTAGGGGAAACCAGAGCACCCGGAGGAAACCTACGCAGACACGGGGACAACATGCAAAAGGCGAGAGTGCTATCCACTCAGCCACCGTGCCGCCCATTGGTAAACATAGAAATATGTTTACCAATATCTCAATTTCAGTTGTAGAAATGCATCCGACTTTGACATGTAAATGACAGATGTCACATGGTCCAGACCACACGTTTCCCATCATTCAACTAGTCGGTTGGTGTAAAACATCAAAACAGGAAGTGGGGTGGGCCAATCTGGTTTACACGTCTCATTCTTAGCTGGATTCTAAGAAAAGAGACAAACGTTATCTTGCTTTGCCTGTCTCACATTAGACTTATTCAAAAAAGAAACTAGACAGACATTGTGCCACAACTTGAATGCGTTTGGCCGTAGCTGTCATTTTCATATGTCGACCTTTTGCTAAGTAAGGGTTTCTGCAGAGGTTTAGACAAACAGGAAAGGCTTTGAGAGGACATGTGAGGAATTCTGTTAATGTTTGTCTGTAAAATTCACTTCCATAACTCATCACGTTACTGTTTAGTTGTCATTAGGTTCAGATGTACTTCCGCTGCTGTCTGAAAAGCAGCGTGACTCAGGAGAAAGTTTTCTGTTACTTAATCTACAACTGGAAAAAAGTGAATTCGCACCCAAATGGGAAGTGGACGCGGATAGATGGAAAAGCTGTCAAGAAATGGAGCAGTGGTTAGCATTTGTGCTCCTAAGCAAGAACGTCCTGGGGTCAATTCCACCTCCAGACGAGGCCTTTTCTGTGTTGAGTTTGCATGTTCTCCCCATGTCTGTGTAGGTTTCCCTTTACACTAAAAATGTGTATAATTGGTGAGGGTAGAATGAGTGTGTGTTTGTGAGTGTGGGACTACAGATAAAAACCATGATTGACAACCATGATAGGCTGTGGAAAGAATTGATAACAAATTTATAAACATTTATTATATTTTGAGTATGAGTATATTTATAACAAATAACTTAATTAGGGGCACACATTTAGATTTAGACACATCCACATTAATGGGGTAGCTAATTGAACACAGGCCAAAAATACATGAATGTAAAAACTAGAGCTAGAACTGTTTTAAGAGCTTGTTGGATGGATTGTATTACTAGTTAATTTTAGGTACCCCTCCTTTATTGACGTCTGATTAATTGACTCACTAGATATTCTGACTCTTTGCATGAATAACACAGGAAACTCTGAATCATCTTGAAAACTAAGACATTAGATAAACATGTCTCTTCACACTCAAATGATCTGCCTCCAAACCGCATTTCATGCCAGTACAGTGCTTTGGGCAATGTGTCAATAAGATGCAAAAAACACTCGCACACAACTAGTCGTAGTATGGTACGTAAAGGGTATTCATACATTTACCGAATTTCTGGGGCTTGGGATTAACATTGATGTAGAAGGCCTGCTACTTATGATCAAACTCAATATCATGATTATCTGCCCTACTGGAATGAGAAATATTTCAAGTAATTACTCTAAACTTTATTGGAAAACGCTTAGAGAATGTGTGTGTTTTAGAGCATTTATCTTCAAAATCCTGTTTGTAGGATAAGGAAGAATAACACTCTAAATATAATCCATTGTATAATGAATTTATTTTTTATTTCATAATTCACTTTTAGCACATTATAGAAAGTTACATGGCACACTATAAATGGGAATGTAGGAGAACTTTAATGGTGGTTCCGCTTTGTAATGAAGAGAGAATATCCTGCTTTTAAACAGCAATAACAATTGTGAATTAATTCAATTGTGAATTAATTCAATTGTGAATTAATTCAATTGTGAATTAATTCAATTGTGAATTAATTCAATTGTGAATTCGGGCTTATACAGTACGTTCATGTAATGCAATATAATGTCATGTGTGCCTTTGCCCCACAGTTGGTGGTCCAGGTTGGTCTGTTCCATGGCAGTGAGCTTCTGTGTAAAGTAGTGACGAGTTCAGAAGTGACCGTGTGTTCGGAGCCGCTCTGGGACCAAAGACTAGAGTTTGACATCAACATCTCGGACCTGCCTCGAATGAGCCGCTTGTGCTTCGCCTTGTACACAGTCATTGAAAAGACCAAGAAACCCCGTGGCACCAAGAAGAAGAACAAAAAGGCAGTGAGTAGCCAAAATAAGTATGTATTTAACAATATCAATATGGTAGTAAATCATTTTGAGATGTATAGTGTGATTGAGATTGTGATTATAGTTCCGTTAATTAGAAGGCTTTACACAAATAATAGTAACAGTTCTAAAAAATATCGTTGTCATGTCTTGTCTTGTGAAAATGCTCTTATCCCATTTACGGAGTCCTTTATAGCGTTATTAGTCTCTCTAATCAAATTTAAAGCTGGGGTACTTAACTTCTTGTTTGTTCCAAAAGAGTAACAAATCAGACCACAACATGCTGTCTTAAGACCAGATAAAATAGACTTTATTGATCTCACACAGGAGAAATCGACATGTCACATCTGGCATGGATAGAAACACTCAAGATTGTGCAAAAGAAAGAAATGTGCAAACATGTTAGATGCAGGATATATTATGTCCAATAAAAAGTGGCAATTCAAAGTGGCAATCAGTCTTTCATTATTAGAAAACATTTTGGTCACTATTTGGTGCTTTCGACTGATATGATTGGCTGGTGGAGGGTGGTCCTCTCTACAAGCTGGTCTAAAGATGTGACAGAGGCCAAAAGAATGTGAAAACTGTATTTAGATGGATTGATGCCATAATTTTTTTTGTAGTCCATAGTTAGGAACCACAGATAACCTATTAACACATGTTTCAAGGTTTCAAGATGCAGTTGTTAAAATTGAAAACAAAAAAGAACAGTTCATTCAGCTCCTCTGCACCACTGCGCTACAAAATTTTTTTTCTTGAAGCTGGCTGAACTTACTTACATTGATGATATTAATGAATTGAAAGTGAGCGAACTGCAAGATGGGTGACTTTGTGTCTGTAATAGCAGAGCACAGTTTGTTGTTGCAGGTGTGGGTCGCTGCACTAAACGATGTTGTGTGAAATATGTAGTCTCTGTTGTGAGCGCTCAGAGGCAAAAGCTGTGGTCGTGGTCTCATCCGCTTCTACGCTTTCATCTGAGCATCAGGAAGGAATCGGCTACAATTTCAAGGAATTTTAAATTTGTCTTTTCTGAGAGATATGTCGCAACATCGACATGCTGTCAGTTAAAATGTTTCTAGCAATAGTCTTATTGAGTCGGGTCAGCTGCTTTTGGCGTTTAAAGTTTCGCAGAAGTAATTATCACAGGACAGATTGGGTATCTTCGGTATAACTTTTTTTCACCATAAATAATACTGTCTTTGCCCAAACAGAAAGAATGAGTCTAAAAAAAATTATTATTTATCATATATATTCTCATATATCTATGAGAAATGAACTAAGAGCTTTTTTTTTTTAATCTTCTTGTCTTAAAAAGCTGAACTAAAGTATTCACTGAAGCCAAAATATACATTCCCTCTGAAAACAGTTTTGAGGAACTTAGTATAGTTGTATAGGAACTAGTTATATTAATTCAATTACATTTTTAACCATATGTTGTTAGTCACAACACTACTGATTGCTTGTAGTTGTAGCCATAGCAGCAGCCATCAACAATATTAGTAGTAGTTATATAATTCATCAATACTAATCACCTGATAATATGTATCACCGGATAACATAATATTTGTTATATCTTGGGAACATGCACTGTGAGATTTGAATTAAATGTTAACATGTAAATCTGAAAGCTAAGGAAAAATGTTTCATTTTTGCTGTTCATGTTTTCTGGAACTTGTATCATTACTAGTTTTCAGTATTGCTTACCATAATATTGTTAATCATATTTTCTCTGTAGTAATGTAATCATGCTCCACGTTTTTGTGACGGCCTTATGATGGCCCCCAAATTATTATCCTCAAAACTTACAGCAAACCATAGTTTTCTTTCGTATTTGAAAGCTGCCTAAAAAGTGTAACATTGCAACTTCCATATTGTTTTTTATCAGTAGTCACAGTGTACAGTACATTGTATTAGATTACTTTAAATATATCTTTTACACTGGCTGCTCACCGGATGTTTTTCTTATCTAAACCTTTGTGGAAGTGGCATTAGTTACTATAAATGTTGCTTCAGCTGGCACGCCCACACTGTGTCTATACAGTGTGTAGTGAAGTACAGTGATCAGCTTCCTCTTTCTGCGGCCGTGGTCTGGACCTGTGTGGAAGCATCAGCCTGTGGCACAGTGTTAACGCCTCCTCCTAAACTCACCCCACAGCTGTTTGAGGGCCACTTCTGCTTTCCCCAAAACGTTTGTGTTTCTCTGCACAGATATCTGTCAGGCGGACTAACTATAGCCATTCATTGATTATATAGTAGGTGTTTTGCCATGTGCTTATCAGATCTCTTAGTAATTCCTGTTTGCATTAAAAATTAAAAACAATTTACTCAATGGTATTTCATAATTCCAAACATGTACAAACACAGCTTCACAAAACAAAATAACACGCATATACACATGCATGTTTTGAAAGGGGACTGGGTGAAGCAGATTCTAAGCTCAAATGCTTTGATATATTGGTTATCTCTATGAATTATGAGGCAAAATCTTTTGGGTGAGGTAAAAATTAGGTTTTGTTCTGAGTGAGTAGCTTTTTTTTTTAAGTCACAGTAATTCTTGATTATTTATTAACTTGCAAACCTGTTTACAGGGGTTCTCACCTTTTCACTCGGTGGGGCTTATGAGATGTATTTTTGTGGGACCCTTTTGAATACATTGAATAACCTAAGAAATTTAATTGTCAAAAGATTCCACATTTTACATTCTCTTTATTTCACTGTTATTTAATTGTTATTTGAGAGACACAGATGTAGTACAAGGTTTGAAATGGGTCTAAATCCAACATATTGTGTAATTTGACCTTTTTTTACTTTCATTATGATTTGAGTCAAATATTTTTTTTAAAAGTATGAATTACTTTTAGAAGTATAGCTTGAAATAATCCCTTGAAGCAGGAGGGAAGAAATGCCTAAAGAATTCCTAACTTGACTTGAAGTATACCCTACCATGTAATGGCCATGGCCATGCCGGCCACGTGGCGCAGTGGCTTGTCCTTAGTAGTTGTATTTGGGTTCGATTCCACCTCCTGACAGAGCCTTTTCTGTGTGGAGTTTACATGTTTCCTCATGTGTGTGTTTGTGATGTAGATTGGTTACAATAATCTACAATCTGCTGTAATTGCAGCTCCCGCAGTTCATTAATACTCACTGTCCCATCCAAATAAAAAATAAAAATAAAAGAATAATAACATATGTACCTTATGATCCCCTCAGGACTGTCTCATTGCCTGGGTCAACACCATGGTTTTCGATTATAAGGACCAGCTGAAGACCGGGGAGTTCCTTCTGTCGACTTGGCCCTCGGTTCCTGGTACAGCACACATATTTCATCCAAAACTCTCTGCATGTCCACAGCCTCCTCCATAGGAACTGTCCGTGCACAGTCAAGGGGAAATCACTCACAGGACGTGTGGTTCTAACCCACATTATAAATTACTGTAGGTCAATAACGAGTCAAATCAGACACACTATTTTTCTTAAACCCCAACATAATTTAAATGCGTTTTCTAATTTTTCATTTTCTTTTATAAATACATTTTGGCGTTTTGGAAATGTTTGATCTGTAACTTCATGTCTTTTGCCTTTCTTTGCTGTTAAGAAAACATTTTCTCACTTTATACTGTCTTTTCATAATGTCACAGATGACAAAAGTGACCTGTTGAATCCAATGGGAACAATTGAGAAGAATCCCAACGTTGACAGTGCTGCCGGGCTGCTTATACATTTTCCCAATTTCCGACCACATCCGCTTTATTATCCACCACTTGACAAGGTTTCTTTCTATTCTTTTTTTATCTGTAAATCTAAAAACATGTTAGTTTTGTACATCTTCAGTTCTCTCTGCTCTTTTTAAAAATCCTCAGATCTCTGACATTGACAAAAATGGTGACACTTCAGGTGGCTCTAAAGACGAGGTAACATTTTCACACACTCACAGATGGTCACATCAAAGGGATGGAAATGGTGATTTTGTTATGTCTCTATCTGAAGTTGTTAAAGCTGAAAGAAATAATGGACAACAAAAACTACACTGAGTTTTTTGAGGATGAAAAGGAACTGCTGTGGAAGCTTCGATATGAAGTCCGGGACCACTATCCGGAAAGTCTGTCAAAACTGCTGCTCATCACCAAGTGGAATAAACGGGAGGATGTTGTCCAGGTTTGTGGCTCTAAGGGTCTAGAGATATGGCGCATACACAGATTTGTCTTCTGTATTATTGTCACATGATTCATTGTGTTGTCTCTTATCAGATGGTGAGTTTGTTGAGAAACTGGCCAGACCTCCCGGCTATCCACGCCCTCGAGCTCCTGGACTATAGTTTTCCAGACCCAGCTGTCCGCGCTTTCACCATAAGATGCCTCAAAAAACTCAGGTGACAACAATATTGTTTGATTTGTGTTTTGTTAAATTATTTTCTTGTTGCTATATTTTTCAATCTTTTTCTCTGTCATTTTTTGTTAGTGACCGTGAGTTGCTTCAGTACCTCATTCAGCTCGTGCAGGTGCTGAAGTACGAGTCGTACCTGGACTGTGACCTCACTCTCTTCCTTCTGGAGCGTGCTCTGTCCAACCGCAAGATCGGACACTTCCTGTTCTGGCATCTCAGGTGGGACTTCACTTACCCTTAAAAGTATGGTGCCTTCTTTCCAATAACATTATGTCTTATATATATTTTTATAACTCCTTTTGTTTTGAAACTTTGGAAAACAGGCGATCATCATATTAGAAAACATGAAAACAATTAAAACAAAGTTGTTAGAAACCTGAGTTTGCTTAAACGTTTTGTAGTGCAAGTTGAGCAAGGACAGCACCGCCAATTCATCTGAAAAAGCTAGAAAGAAATCAATGACAAAAACTTGCTATGTTTTCCAAGTATCTGACAGTTTTGCAGATGTAGTTCCTTCTACTGTGGTTTGAAAACGGGGTACTTACACACATTGATAATTGTTAATGTTTTAAAATACCTTTTTAAGTATAACTTTTTTTGTTGGTATGTATGATTCTATTTGTCTTTTGGCCCTAAAAACATAGCTTCAATTCTTCCTCCAGAGATAAGCAGACATTTAGGCTTTCCTCTGTGTTTTCTGTTCTCAATGTCTAATTCCGGAAAAAACAACATTTATGTACAGTCCTATGCACATCTGATAAGGACATCAGCAGACATTATACAGCCTCAGGATATTTCATCCAATAAACTCTGAATTACTTGCATTTAGACAACATTTAAAAAGTGTTTCAATACTGTACTCAGTCAATGAAGATACGTGCATAAGATCCTATTTATAGCTTTCATTGAATGTCATCAGTTTTTAGTTATTTTTACTGTTGCTTACAGTGAGTTTGTGGCTGACAGATGACCGGTCATCTCCTGGTCACTTCCTGCAGCTGCACAGATGTTTTCCTTGTGTCTGGTTTACTTTTTGTTTGTGTCCACATGAGCATGTCTACATGAGAACTTTTCCTTGTTTCCTTGCATTAAAAAAACCTATTAGAAATGAAGTTAAATGTGTATAACATAAATGGATAATCTCCCACTAAGTACATACTCTTTTATCTTTCTTTTTTATGTACTCTGATTATTTATGATATTAATGCTATCTTGTTTTGTTCAGCACTTTGATTTGCCTTGGATATGAATTGTGCTATACAAATAAACTTGCCTTGCCTTGCCTATTTTAATCTACTGTTGTCATCCATTCTTTTGCAGGTCAGAGATTCATGTGTGTTGTGTTAGTCTGAGGTTTGGCCTTATTCTCGAGGCCTACTGCAGGGGAAATATCCACCACATCAAACTCTTATTGAAACAGGTAAAGTTCATATGCCTCTTTTTCTGCTATCTAAAATAACCTTTTTTTTTTTTTTTTTTACAACTTTATGATATTTTCTATTTTTGTTCTTGTCACATAGAATGAGGCTTTAAGTAAAATGAAGGCGCTCAGTGACTTTGTGAAATCCGGCTCTCAGAGGATGACAACAGAAGACTTAAAGCTGTGCATCAAACAGGAGTCTTATGTGGAGGCTCTGTCTGACATGCAGTCCCCCCTCAACCCAAGCATCATCCTCACAGAGATATGGTGAACAAAACAAGCTCACAATACAATAACATTCTGACTACTACACTACTAAAACATCTTTTGTGTGTTGGCTTACAGTGCAGACAAATGCAGATTCATGGACTCCAAGATGAAGCCTTTGTGGATGATGTACAGGAATCCATGTATTCACGGGGAATTGGTGGGAATCATATTCAAGAATGGAGATGGTAAGCTACTCCACAGTGCATCAGTTCAGTTACAAATATACAGTAAAAACATGTACTGTCATTTAGATGGATAAAAATGGGACAATTTGTATTATTATAAGTGAAAAGACATACATGTTCAAAACTTAAATACCTTCCAGGTTCCTACAAAGGCTTAGATTTATATTTGTTTTTTTCCCAAGCGGTCTTTCTAGTTATTGTTTGTGTTGTTGATTGTATCCTCACGCTTAAAATGAATTTATAACACCACAGATCTGCGGCAAGACATGTTAACCCTGCAAATGATCCACCTGATGGAAAACCTGTGGAAAAAAGAGGGATTAGATCTCAGGTAACGCCAATCGAATGAATAGAAATGTGCAATCCTTGTTCATAATGTTTCAAAAATGATTTACATTTTTTAGAATGATCCCATATGGCTGCCTCTCCACCGGGAACAAAATGGGTCTAATCGAAGTTGTAAAAAACTCAGACACTATTGCCAATATTCAGCGCAACAACAGTAACAGTGCGGCCACAGCTGCCTTCAACAAGGATGCCTTGCTTAACTGGCTCAAGTCTAAAAATCCTGGGTGAGTTGTTTTGAATATTTGGAATTAGTTAAGAATGTTAAACACTCAATGAATGTAACCATGACTCTACCAATGTATCGGTTTCAGAATGAGGAAAAGCTTGGTATACAGTGTTTGGTTTATTGAACTGTCAAAAGTCCTCGGTATTATCTGTGAAATAGAAAATCATCACTTTGAGACAATGGTCTAAAAAAGTAAAGACTGAAAGACAAAGTCATTTGAAATTTGGAAAGTAATTACATAGTAAGTCAGTGATAATCATACAAGAGAAACTTGTGGGACTTAACCTAATTTCAGTTTGGTTAATTTGTCTTGTGGCATGTAAGGCCAAAATAGAACCATACCCGTTCTTATTTACAAAGTATATAATTGTTTTGTCTCATGATTGTGTCTCCTTTCATTGACAAATGTAAATATATTTAAAATATGAGCTGTGTTTAGGACTGGACACTACACACCCCAATTGGTGCAACACAAACAAGAGTAGAGTTTCGTGCCAGACAGTCTGAAGGTCTTATTCATTCACAAAGCTCCTTGAAGAGCGTGAACCATTGAATCTAATGAATCAGCCTTTGTACGTCAAACGATCACAACGGAGCCAGCTGACCGTACAACACAACAGAGCAGTAATTAGCCTGAAATTCTGAAGCGCCCAAATTGAAGCGAGATAGATCTTGTCAAAGCAACTCAAGTATGTATTATTCAGAGAAAGTATAAAATGGTCAGTTATTATTCAGATAAAGAAATGTTCTGGATGATTATTAATAAGATGCACTGATAGATTGTATAAGCAATGCATAGATAATGTCTGATTATTGTGTATTTTGTTTATCATAACAGGGATAAATTAGAACAAGCGATAGAGGAATTTACTCTTTCATGTGCTGGCTACTGTGTAGCTACATATATTCTGGGAATTGGAGATCGCCACAATGACAACATCATGATCAGAGAAACTGGGCAGGTATGTGATTCATTAACGGTTTCACAAATTGTTTATGTAACAAATACACATAATAAACAAGTTTCATGCTGGTTGTAGACAATCATAGACTAGTATTCTGGCTCACACTGGTCTTTATGCTCATATACAGTGTGACCTGTAAATTGTTTTCATTTTCATGAAAATGTCTAAATGTATCTTAACAGCTCTTTCACATTGACTTTGGACATTTCTTGGGGAACTTCAAACGAAAGCTTGGAATCAACCGAGAGCGAGTGCCTTTCATTCTGACGTACGACTTTGTCCATGTAATTCAGCAAGGACGCACCAATAACAGCGAGAAGTTTGAGCGGTACTTCATTGAGCTTCGTGGTTGATTTGATGTCACTGCTTCTGAATTTGATAAACTGTTCAGTCTTTGATTTAATCTGTTTTCAGGTTCAGAGAGTACTGTGAATGGGCCTATAAGATCTTGTGTCGTAACGGGACACTGTTTGTCAACCTTTTTGCCATGATGAAGGCAGCAGGACTGCCAGAGCTCACCTCCTTCAAAGACATTCAATATCTTAAGGTGAATCTCTCAATAATTTCATTAATTGTATTTGTAAAGCTTAACCTGCAATCTACGATAGTAATTAGAAAATCCTTCGGGTACACTCTGAATAATTTGATATGTTCATAGGATTCGCTAGCCCTGGGGAAATCTGAAGAAGAAGCTCTCAAGAATTTCAAAGTGAAATTTAATGAAGCGCTACGAGAAAGTTGGAAGACCAAAGTTAACTGGATGATGCACTCTTTGGCTAAAGACAATAGACCTTGAGGAAATGGACTCAAGTCTCAATATGGACATGCATTTGTTTGTTTATCTTAAATTAGGGCATACCTGGAAAAACAAATGTTTACATTTGACTGGCCAGAGAGCATCTTGTCTTATGGAGCCTTTGAAGGACAGTCCATTGCATCTGAAAACAAGAGCAATCACACCTTCATGAAGCCTGAATCTTTACATTTCCCCACTACAGGAAGTGAATGCCATGTGGGATGTACACAATATGGTTTATTATGAGCTGATTTATTTAATGACTGTTTTATATGTTTACAAAGTGTTGATGGTTCTAATCATTTGAAAGGTTTAATTGGTGTTTATTGTATTATACTTATATTAGGTTTTTGGGGGTGGGCCCATTGCCCACTTGTTTCATATATATGGTATTGCTTTGTCATCCTGTTCTACCATGGATCAGTGCTTTGAATGGCGCAAAGTCTAGACGTCCACAATACTCTGCACAGCTTTGTTGTTCTGAGTGTTAAACCATTCTGTTAGGGACCATATTTTGAAATCTTGCCATGAAGAGATACGGACCTGCTTTGCAACAAAAAACCTATGTTCCTGCAGCTATGATCTGAGACAATCTAAGATTGAAGCCCGGATTTACGTCTGTGCTATGTGTTTATTAAGAACATTCAAGTGTGCTACTTGAAGGCGATACTGTTTTTATGCCATACACTGTGATTTTGTTTTTCAAAGTGTTCTGGAGCCAATAATGTGCAGTGCCATATAATTTCTTGTAAAGCCTGACCTAAAATAATAGCAGCCATATCATATTAAGCAGGGTGTGACATTCTGGTCTTTGAAGGGCACCTAGAATGAATTGTACACATCTGCATTTAAAAACTACCTTGTGAAAGCTGAAATATATGCATAATGTTTCTGGGTACAAAATCCAGTTTGAAATGTATATTTGACATTCATTGGAGGGTAGTCTCCAATTTATGGCATATGGTATTGTGAATGTAATACATTGCCTGATCTTGTGCAGCTAAAATATAACTTTTTTTTCATTGTAAAGATGACTCCTGTGACTATTGAATATTGAACAACATTCAACAACATAGTGCGTTTGAGACTCGTTGAGACATTACATTGTTTTACAGTATGTAGCGCCCCCAGTGGTCGCTTCCCATAGTGCACACAGAGGCTGCCGCTGGAGGGATGTGACCCCGGAACAGGACGCCTTCCTTCAACAACACACCATTCAAACACGCACACAAGAGAGAAAAGCTGGACCAGGAGGGGTAAGTGCGTGCCTCTGATCGCATGGTGTTCTTGTACTTTTGTTCTGTGTTTCCACCGTGAGTAGATAGAGCGGTGAGCTTCAGGAGCGCAGCACCTGGACGCGTCTCTCTGAACTTCATTCAGGCTTTGTCTCTGCAGCTAGCAGCAGCTAGCTCTGCTGTTAGCATCGCCAGCCTTACCGGTGTGTACACAGCCTTTACAGCTGAACACAAGAGAGTATTTTTGTGGGAACATTGGCGGCATATGGGCCAGTCTGTGTTTTGCATATATTGGGGGGCTTTCCAGCTCTATTTGTCCCTAATCGTGTTTTCGGATCACGGCGGAGGCTATAGCTGCAGCTGCTCCTGCTCCTGCTGCAGTTTGAGCTGCCTCTTTTTTTGAAACAATATTTTCAAATGAGCTTTGTAAACCCACCGTCTGTTTTCTGTGTAAGGTAGTTATGTGTGCACTCTGAAAGTATTGTTTCTTAACATTAAATATGGGTATCTCTTAACTTCCTGAGAGTTGACAGCCACCCTGGTGTTTCTGGTGAAATGTACAAATCCCACAGATACTACAGCTCACATTAGTAAAGTGAGTTGCATACAATTACATACATTTAATCTGTCAATACAGAGCAGGGATGTAGGAGGAATTCACTAGATTAATGCCATCACTCTCAGTAGGCACTCATGTGAGCAGTCTATCTTTGGCTCTTTCTGCTGCTGTACATTGTGCCTGTTGGCTGTCAGATGCTGGTGAAGCGCACACAGACTGAGTCAGGCTTTGGCCCAGTGTTAAGTGCTCTCACTCCACATTGCTCTTCTGCACTTGTCAGACCCACCTCTCACAGCACATTCTGTGAGCTCCACACTGGGGCAGGTGCTCCTCAGCCTGGGGGGACCTCATAAGCAAATCAGCACAGCTCCAGGCGGACAGTTCTTTTTTCACTCACCATAGAATGTTGATTTTCTAGTTTAATAAAGTGTCATAATTTTGTTTTTTACAAAACTATGTTTTTTACTGGCTTTGCGTATGTGTTTGTCTGAATTCTTCATGCTGAGTATCTTAAGCATTGAAATTTTAGTGAGCCTCAAATGATCAAATCTGTATTATATTCTTTGCCGTGACGCTGGCGTCTTTGAATTCTGGCAGTGACATCCCCAGGGGACCAGCTTAAAGCTGGCGCATCAGCTTCTCTTATAATTCCTTTGAGACCCCCAGGGGAGTGTTCCATACGCCATGATCACAGTCCAGACGCAATTGTGTTCCATCTCGTAGTTCCGTAAGAAGGCATTGCAGAATGAAGTTACTTGCCTTGGTGTAATAACAAAATGTCCATGCCACCTCAGCCATTTCCAATACCTTTGATTGATAATGTTTTGGAGTATGATGAACAATAAGTTACCACCAATTGATTGACAAACCCGCTTTTTTTTTAAACTGTGGTTCCTGTGAACATGTGCCAATAAAACTGTTTGACATTCATTTTTTATTATCTAAGTTCACTTTTTATTTTTAGTGTAGACGTATCAGCTCCTATCGGTTATTGTCATCCAACAGCTTTTTAAACTTGTACCCGCCGGCAAAAGATGACTCCTGGACAAATGAGTGTGTACATATAAACGGCTTTCTTTACTACTATAACATAAGCGTAAAAAACTCCATCTTTGTTGATCAAAAATAAATGTTCAGGTTGCAATTAATGCCCTAGAATTCAGTCTGTGTGTTATCTATGACATGATATGTAACAATATTTGTGATAGTACAAGATATTGTTGGCTATTGTGGTCCATATGTCCTGGAGTTAGTGTTTTGTACATCTTCTGCAAGAAGGCTACCTGCACTGCACGGTCAAAGGTGTACCTCTTGATGAAAGACACTGAACGACCCCAGTAGCTGGGGGAGAGCTGGAGTTCATGCCTCACGTGGTGACAACAAGACATGACCTACTTATCAATGGCAGTCCTCTTCATCACCATTGTCCCCTGATACTGTAGCCTTTGTTGGAGGCACAGGCTCTGCGCATATGTGTGTCTGGTCACTAAAGGCAGCGGGGAACCACACTCTAACTAGTCCTTATCAAGGCAAGTCTGCCCCCTACTGCTCTGAAACCCAAGGCTGCTCCTGACCCCCAGGAGGGCTATCAGGAGCCCACTGTACTTTTGGCTGCTTGGGAATTGGGCACCTGACATGAGTGCAAGGAGGTGACACAAACGTAGCCCGGCTACATAAGCGTGAAACTTTAGTCGAGAATGGTTCTTGACAATCCCCAACTAACTTTAGAATTGTTTGTGTGTGTGCGTGCGTGTGTGTGTATGCAGGCTCACAAGTTGATGTCTTTCTAAAGCTTATTGAGCTACATGAGTGGTATGAAAACTCATTATGTCATAATCGATGGTGGTGAAGTAGTGAATAAAATATGCATTTATACTTTCACATGCACAGAAATGTGCCTGTTTCTCAGTTCTTACTTTGTGACTTACTGAAAGCCTGTTTTGATTCTTTTCACACACTGCTTCACTCAGAATCGCCCTATAACCTAGTGAGGAGAAATCAGCTGACAGCCAAACTGATATCCATGACGACAAGCTGTCCGATTGGGCTCTAAGGAAGCAGGTAGCCATGTTAGCCAGTCTGGCTATGTTTGTATCACACTTGTCATTATTTTAGGCTTCAGATATCCACGTTTAGCGCTTTTGGCAATCCTGGTGTCTGCTTCATGATGGCCTCAGCTGCTCTTGCCCTAGTGTTGGCTTCATGGTGTTGGCAGATGCACTAGCTGCTTCCCGGTCCTGGAGATTGGGTTTCTCACACATTTTCTTTGGCCCAGCACAATTATTTCCTTCAGTTATTTTTTAGAGCCTCTAATAATGTTTTTTTTTTATTTTCATTTGCTTTACTGAAGAATATGATCAAAACATTGTGAATCTTGATGTATGCACCCTTCTAACTTCTACTCTGAGACACATTCAGGGCGTGTCCTGTTTCACTGTAGTCCTGGCACCAGCCCATCACCACTGCTGTTCTGCTGGTCATTTTGGAGAGTGCGTATGTAATGTGTGGGCTGATTGTGTACTGCACTGCTTGTAACTACTTATTTTTATTTTTTTTCTCTAAATTGTATTTGACAAAATTTGTTTCCCTTACTTGCTCCATTGTCAGGGTTTGATCTTTACACATATCTGACTTCTGTTTAGTTCCATTGAGTGATAATGCACTATAGTCTGGACGGACGCATGGTTGGATCATCATCTGTGTAATTCTGCAGCCGCTCCTGTACACATGCATCTGAGCAGCTTGATATGAGACCGTGACATGAGACTGTAGCACAGAGTGACAGGGCTTTATTCCAAGATCAGCATTAAAGAAGAAAGTCTTTGATTACGTTTGATGCACGAGCCGTGTCAGAGTTTCCCCAGGGACCAGTGCAGAGCCTCCCACCTCCCTCCTAACAAGACCCTGAAGCCTGCGCATCATTTAAGACTCATCACAATGGGAGGATGCTAAAATAACTTAATGTTTTCAGTTTGTTCAGATAATAATGCACATTTTTTTAAAAATCTAACTGCATTAATTTTTCTTGATTCAGCCTTTTGATAATAACAAAACTATATTGATTTTGAAAACAACTTTTAAATCTGTTTTATCCTGGGTAGATAAAAGGTCAATTTAAATAAAAATCTAATTTGCATCAAACACAAGGAGACTGAGCCTTTAATAATGTGTTAGTTGCACAACCCATATGTTAAATTAATGCAGCTCCTGAAGATCCAGGAATGAACTCTGCTTAATAAAGTATTTTTCTGAGAAGCTAGTTTATTTTCAATATTTATATTTGTTGACATATTGTTTACTGCAAAGCCAATCAAATGAGAGGGTGGGATATTGTACTGGAATCGGAAGTAAACAACTAAAACTAATCGCTGATGTGTTTAGTCTTAATGTTTCTATGGTTTGAAAAGAGAATGGATTTAGTTTCTAGTATGATATTGATTTGTGAGGTTTAGCAAAATTCAACTTATTTTTGACAATATGACCCTGTAATATCCTTGTATCATAATGCATATATTCGAAACTCCTACCTTTTGGAATAAGCATCAACAGTAATTTGATGAGGGACCTGAGCAGTCCATCAAGAATTTGAATTGTCAGGAGCATCAAGGGGAAAGTCACTTGCCTTTCGTCTCTATCTTACCAAGTTGAAGTGTCTTGCACAAGGACACGACAGCAGACTTCAGTGGAAGAAGGTGACATGTTTTTTGGGGAAAAAGACCCATTGCTCCTCTGAGCCGCTGTCTAGTATAAACATTACAAATGGAAAGCGCTTTCAATAGCCTCCCAATATATGGTAAATCTTCATTGTGTTCAGTATGAGAAAATATGTATTGGTGATTAATGATAGCTCATATGAATTGTTCTAAGCACAGTCTAATAAAGGCAGAGCTGGTGCTATTTATGGTCTGTTTTCAAACTTCTAACACGAGCATCAGTCATCATGAAACCACTTTCTGTTAACTCTTTTTGGCCTTTTCTACCATTAGGAGACAATGCTGTTGGTTTGAGCGTAATAATGTAATATGAACAAGATAAAATGTGGCCATTCCAATGTTACTTTTTAAGCTTGTTATTAGCAGCCAACGCAACCACCAGGTGTCGGACATTGAATTCATATCTTGGTCATTTCTTTCTCTTCGCTCTGCCTGAAGTTGTAGACATGATCAAACGTCCCTCTGCTGCTCCTCTGAGACTGCTCGCTTCCCCCAGATTCAGTCTGTTATCCATAATATACACGCTGGCCTTTTGTGGTACAGATTCATTCACTAAAGAGAACTTTGGTCCATGACTCATCTGAGCTTCAGCCAAAAGACTTCTGCACATGACAGCTCCTCCAATGCCTTCACAGGTTTTAGTGTAGTTGTTCTCATGGAGATGCCATCTGCTTAAACCTAGAATGATCCAAATCATTGAGTTAAACTTTTCATTCATTTTGAGGTACTCCTAGTTAATTAAAAAATAAATCTTAAATATGCTCCCAGTATAGTACAGTAACCAATTAACAAGCTGTTCTTTTCTTCGAACAGAAACATTTCTTTGGTTGATTTCCGCCTGTACTATTTCTTAATAAAGCTCATCTCAGTTTGCATGGAAACATTCCATGCAAACACAAGTCAAGTGACCAAATCAAAAATTACACGCTGCACCTTTTATAAATTAAATGTGGAATTAATTATCATATATACATTTCTGAGTCTCCAGTGTGAATTTGAATAAATAAATAAACTTCAGCTGCTCAGATCAAAGTCCACTATCGTTCTTGTGCCATCGTATCAGAACCAATAACTAGCCACTGCCTGGTTCAACCCCCTCCCCCTGGGCATTTGGGACAGGGCCTGGAGGGGGGGGTGCTGGGAGCATTGGGCTAGCTCCTCAATTAAATATCACCCCACATAAAACAGTTTGTCAACATGCATTAGTGGGCCTTTGTATAGATAAGAGGCTAAAATAAATTGCTAGACCAATTGCGGCGGATAAAGAATTTATTTATTTGAGGGGAGAACAATTTGTGTTTTGCATACTAATAATATAACAACTCGATTCATTTTAAGATTGTTTCTCCTAAATGTTCCGTCATTCATTTAGCGGCTTGTCAGTCTTTGTATAAAGCGCTAACACAAGTGACAACACTAGACCGTGATGTATTCGTCGCCCACATTAGCGCTGGCTGTTCCTTTTATCGGCCGCCCCACCCTCCTCACTCCCCACTTTTTGCCTCGTATTCCCATTTTTTTTGTGGCAGAAGACGGTGAAATAGGTTATTAGGTAGATGGAGGGGAGAGTGTGCAGACACTGTGGTGATATCTGTATGAAAACAGTCATGTAATATTAATCACAGGGATTCAAGCTGTGACGAGACCTTTTTCTTTTTATTCGCAATCTTTTTATTTTTATTTTCATCCTCATAAAAAAAATTTTTTTTTGTTTTTAAAAAAAATCATAATGAATGGATAATTGTTTGATTTTGGGTTTAGTGATCTAAGCCTGAGGACAATATGTATCTTACAAACTATGCATTAGATTCCACCTAATTTGTTCCTAATTCTTCAGTTTAGTTTCTACTTCTATTCCATCTTCTTTTCAAATCCATTGTAACATAGTCTGTTACAGCTTTCAACCTTTTCAGTCAGAAAAATGCAAATTAGGTGACCACTTACTGCAGCCAATCATTTCTCTACCTAAAGAATCAAATGGGTGACTCGCAAGGCTCTCCTTTACAATTACGTATTGTCTCATTACAAGGCTGTTTTGGTTGGGACAAGAATTGATCTATTCTCCATGCTGGATTAAGGATGTGGGGCGACAGTTGCTCAGTTGGTAGAGCATTGGCCTTAAGGCCAGAAGGTCATGGGTTCAATTCCCACCTCTGCACCTTCTCCATCGACTCCCACTGATGACTGCTGTCGTTGTGTCCTTGGGCAAGACACTTAACCCCACTTTGCCCAAAAGCCCCCGCTGAAAGATCAAGGCTATGCTCACACTCAGAGAGCAGCCGTCCTCCTGTGGACTCACCACCTGCAGAGGGTCAGTGAGGGGCTGGTGCTATGAGACTTGGGTGGCATCTCTGACTGCCACCCCCCTGACCCAGAAATGGATTAAAGGGTAGAAAATGGATGGATGGATGGATGGATTAAGGATGTATATAAAATATAAAACATTACAAAACATTCTAATTCCGATTCAACACGGCCTGTACTCTGCTTGCTTTCATGTATTCATGTATATTGACATTACCATTTTATTTTTGTTGCATGTTTCAGGTTTTCACTCACAAGTCTTTTCATCCTGAAGTCAGCCAATTAGGAAGTAGGTAATTCTAGTTTGTTCAGTTGATTTATGATTGACCCAGTCGGAACTTGTTAGGAGTGTTTAATCTTTCTAGTGCTGTGAATTGAACTGGCTTCTTTACTATGAATAATCTCCGTATAATATGCATTTATAATCTTTTGGTCTTATTTGTGTTGGCAGAGCCACAGGAGCAGAGGGGATGAACCGCGAGGAGGCCCCGGGGAAGTCTCCTGAAGACATGTATGTCCAACAAAAAGTGCGGGTCCTTCTCATGCTCAAGAAAATGGGATCAAATGTATGTATAGCTCTTTGGTTAATTTTTTTATCCAACAGAAGATGCATGAGTTAGGGATTCCTAACTTGTACTTGTGTAATATTGGTTAGATTTGTCTATGGTGTAATGTCAATTGGTTTCACAAACCTTTCCCATATCACAGTTGTGCGAGTTTAACAGGATGCTACATTGAAGGCTACAGTCGCAATGTTCGAGTTCTGTTTTCAACTGTTGAAAGATTAACAAATCCCCCTGTTCAGATATTAGGTCAAAGTCTGTTACCTTCACTCACACAGTGAACATGTCTCTTCAATCTGAAACATAACCAGAGGTCCTGGAATCTACAATAATCAGCCCCCTCCTAAAAAGAACAGACTAGAGGCAATGGTACTTAATCGTTTCAAACTGTGGTTTTGAACCGCATGCACAGTTAGGCTGTAAAGTGCTTGTAGTCTATAAACAGTTGTTGTGTCCAACAGCAAGACACTTTACCCATAATGCCTAAGAGTCTGTTGTGTGCATTGATTATTGGTGGTCGGAGGGGTTAATGGCACAGATGAGGAGCCCCGCTTCCATCAGTCTGCTCCAGGGCAGCTGTTGCCTCCGTAGTAACTTGCCATTGTGTACATGGATTATCTTTGAGTGTTTTATAAAACACTTTATAAAACCATTGTATTATTGAATATAAAATTGAGCTGGCATGTACTACAGTTTGGAAAATATTGGTTTGTCTTCTTTTCAGCTCACACCCAGTGAAGAGGCTTTCCTCCGAAACTACGCCGGCGTGGTCCACAGTCAGATGAGTCAACTACCACAGCACAACATCGACCAAGGTCAGAGTTACATTTCACAATGTTTCATGTGCAAAGTACTTTTGTGATCAATTACTTTCTAATAGTACTCCGGAAAGAAAAACACTATTCAAAATATAGGTAGTAGATCTCATTGAGGGATGATTCGGAAGAAAGCATTGCATTTAGTCTAGAAAACAATGGATGTCAAAGGTTAGTAAAGCCATTATGGTCAGAAGAAAGACATTTTCCTTGTGCAATTAACATAATACATAGGCAGCTGTGTGACCTCAAGCCCTCCTAGTTTTATATAAATAAATATGTAAATTCTAACATGAAGAAAGCTGGTAGCTTGTTTAGACCACTGGAGGGCACTAGATGAACAGACTATCTCTGGCTCATCCTGCAATTGCCTCAAAGCAGCTTGAACACAGTGGATGCATCTGTGAGCGCCGCTCCCGCTGGCTCCTGGACACACTCGGGGTCCATAATAATATTCTGCCCTTTGGGGCCTAAAGATGGCAAAATCGCCCACAAGCTCAACTTGCAGTGATGCTCCCCGTGGCCTTGATGGCGTCCTCTCTCACTGCCGTTTTAAATGTTAGAATAAGGTTTTCTTAAACATGATTTGCAAAATTATCTCTCCGTTATTTGCACCAATTTCAAATAAAACCCATTTTGAGTTTAAAGTAAATCACTTGAACTTCAGATGTTTGTCTCAAATCTTATTTTAATAATAAGATATTTATTAACCCTCTAGGCGCCACGGTCGACTTAAGTCGACAAGCTGCGGTACTGTTAAAAACGGCCGAGTGTGACCAACTTGAGTCAAAATTCATTCATACTCCCTGCCACTAGTTGGCAGACATGTCAGACTACCTCCCTGGCCCCAAAAAACGACATGCTCCCATACAAAATATTCGAGCAAGACCGCGTTGAACCAGTGCGGAAATCATAGCGAAGCGAATGCAGCTGCGGGGCAGCCTGCAAGTGTTGTACCGCACCAAACACTAACTTTAGACACTTTGCACAGGGTCTGCAGTGGGAACAGTGTTTCTCAGAGTAAGGCCAAGTCATTGGGAGGTTCGGAGACAGGTTAGATTTGCGGAAAACAAGCCTGGAACTCGGGTCGGGGCGCCGCGCCGCGACCTCCAGCCTCCGCTGAAGTTTCCGCCAAAGTCTCCGCTAAAAGTGCTTCCCACATATTTATTTTCAAGCCTCCCGTAATCACCGGGACAGTAATGTGTTGGAGAGGCCTTGTCTTGTGTGTGTTAGACGAGAGAGAGCAGGGGAGATGAGAGAGAGAGAGTGGGGGAGACAGCTGCAGCAGCAGGGTCGCGGTGACGCGCGCGTCTGGGCAGACTGCTCACAGCAGCATCATGATTTATATTTTTTTACTATTTTCATGAACATTTACAATGTTACAGTGTGTGCTCTGTGTGTGTTCATGTTCTAGTGATAAATATATGTCTGTCAGTTAGAAAAATACAAATATTGTATGAAAATTCTAAAATCCACTATTTCTAATGCCAAATGACGTCATAATATGCAAATTAGATGGGGGATTTATTCTCTACATAAACTTTGGACCATCCTTTATATTTTTCTAATTTACAGAAAGCCTTTATCTCTTATCACTTTTAAGTTATAGCCTTTTGAAATTAAGATGTCAAAATTGAGCGTTTTGGAAAAAAACCTCTGGCGCTTAAAGGGTTAATGGCAAATTGGCTAGAGATCCTATTAATAAACATGTGAAGCCTTTTCACATATTTCACATGACATTGTTTTTGTGCAAATGTAGGCCATTGGAAATCATTGAATTCTGGATTTTACTCTAACTTCAGTCCTGTAGAGATGCATTGCTATGTATTTGATTTGAATTGTATTTCAGTATATAGATAAATTTAATTATATTTTTCCTTGCTATTTATGATCTTTCAATACAATGGCCTCGAGAAAAGGACCACAACATACTAACATAATATGGATTTAGTGGTAAAATTGGCCCCCAGGCACTGCACTGTGGCGATCACTGCTCTTAACAGTGGCAGGATAGGTCAAATGCAGAAGGCTAATACCCTATGAGGATACATTAAAGTGCATGTTACCCTTACCATATCAAACCACATTCCACCCAAGCATTAGGTTGGCTTTTTCATGTTTTTCTTTATATTGTATGTTGTAAACCTTCTACGTTCTTCTTGGGTTCTCTCGTCTTTGCTCTATACTGGAGGCTTACAGCTCTCTGCATGTGCTGCTTTAACACGGCAAGGAAGAGCCCTATTAATAATGGATGCTGCCTGTAGAAGGTGCTGGGCCGATGTTTTAAACATCAAAAAACAGCCACATTTAGTGTCATTTGGAAGTCAGCCACCTCCACGCCGCTGCCATGAATTATTCGTGTTCCGCATCTCATCTAAAGTGGTGTGATTAGGCTCTGTGGCGATGGCGTTAATCACTGGTAATGTGCGTTGTGGAAATGGAGAACGGCTTGAATGCATTGAGGACGCTCTAAGGTGGGATAGAAAGAAGAGGCAACCGTTTGATCGCATTTACGGCTTACGAGAAGATGAAAGCATCGTGCGATAAGCTTGTTTTGCATATGACTCACCTCAACACTGGTGAAAATATTAGAGAGTAGAGAAGGGAAAGAAAATTGAAAGAATGAATGCTCATGCTAATAAGCGTGTGAATATTATTATATAATACTAATACCAATATTGATTGTATTTGTTGATATATATTTTATATGTATCAACACATACTAAGTATTTGTTTCAGCTCAAACCTATTTATCTTAACTCCTTTCACCCTGAGCTCTATCTATCTAAATATGATAAAATAAAACTCTGGAGTTCCAATTGTAAATGGCCTTTGGAACGATATTCTAATTTTCCGAGGCCCAATCAGGACTTTAGTTTAACGGATACTATGGAACTGATACAGTACCAATAATATTGATATCAGCAATATTGGCCTATTGCTGTTGGGAACTACATATATTTACATACTTATAAAAACAAAAAAATAAAGTTAAACATTTTGTTTTTAAAAAGTTTGTCCAAGTTTGCAGTACTTGTTGTGGTTCCACAAGAATTTTGAAATACAGAATTGCGACACTAGTGTCTGCTCTTTGAATGTTATTTTATCATTCTACTGAATCCAAATGCTTAGTGTTATTTTTTTGCTGTGCCTCTGTACCTCAGCACGCAAACACAGCGGCTTCTATTCACAAAGGTGTTTGAGTTTGATCCAGGTCTCAGGCTGCTGAATTCTAACTTGTCTGTGGACTGTAAAATCATTTTGCTTATGCCTCGCCACTGAAGTTCTGACATCAAAAACTGATTTTAAAAAATCAATATATCGCATATTTCATAAACAAGTGTTTCCAATGCAGCACAAGTGTAAGTCATAAAATAAAACGAGCAAAACAACACAAATACAAATGTCTGATCTAACTTCATTAGTTTCAAAACCATAAAACCATTCAAATAAAAATATTGGATACTGTTGACAATCTTTTTAACTGATTATGGATGAATAATTAATGTATATATTGTTTGAGTGACACACAGTAGGCCAGTCCAAGTTGACACGTTAACCAGTCATTAAACCAGTCATTCCTGTTCCAAATAAAAGGTGCCATTGACTTTACATGTAAACCTGCCCCACCGCTCATTCAGAAAGAGAACCAGGGCAGACCACTGGACCAGTCACAAGACGGACAGATTTATTATTAATTCATTGACCCTGCTAATACATTCTGTACCTTTTTTAAGCGCAGTTATCATTGAACATTTTTACTCCTTTGGGGATTTGACCATAGAACCTTACAGATCACATGTGGAGGCCTGTTCTGCAAAGGTCAGAACACGTGAAATGTACACGTCACTCTTCTTTTTTGTAGAAATTATTTTTTACAGTTGTCTTTTTAATTTTTGATCCTGTTCATTTTCATGTTACTGAGAGAAACTGGGCTCCATCTTGAATTATTCTAACAGATTTCACTTTCTCATCATACTGTTATGATTCTGACTTTTGAGACATGAAACTTGGGAGCGTCATCTCAATCTTTTTAAATAAGTCTAGGGTCACAAGATTTACATTTCAAATACGTCTAATTAGCTTATTAGCATACATGCAAATACGCAGTTGTGCTATTCTAACGAGGCCAAAGAGATACGCCCTGTGGAGAATAATTATTTTGTTTTATTTTATTTAAGAATATTGATTTTTTTTAATTATTTTGGTAACCCTACTGGAATGTAAATGTTGGCCATGTTTCTGAGTAAATGCACTACTACACCATGTACATCTGTAGTCATTGATGAGGTATGATGATGTACGTTGTAGTATGTGGAAACGATTAAGAGGTTTTTTGTGGTTTTTGGTAGCGACTGCAATTTTGTTCACTCTCTATAGTGTGTTGTATAGCTGACAAGATCCTAATAATGTTGATCACTTTTGACAACTGGCCTATTATTTCATCCCCACATATGACGGATTAACCAATTCAGATGACATGTATGTGGATCTCTTAAGTTTAATTTGCTTCAAGTCTAAAATATGAGCTTTTTGTCAGCGGCAAAAGGAACGAGTATAATATAGCACCATAAAACAAAGCTGTCTTTTCTTTGTTTTTAATCGGAACAATTTATTTCTGGCATTTTACTGATTTTACACTGTCTGCACTCAGAGCTGACAATCGGACCACTGATTATCCTGTCCGATTTGACAAGGGGAAGTTTACATCCCTCCAGAGGATGGCTCAATGAGCAAGGATGAGAAATGGTTTCCATGGTGATCATTATATCTTTGGTAAATGACATCCCAGGGGCTTTAGGATGTTGTTTCAGCACACTGGGGCAGGTGCAGTTATAGGCCTGGGGTGTGACAGAGCTGCGAAAGCCACAACAAATTCATCTTTTCTTAGGGCAAGAGAGAAAAATGGCTGCCCTGGTTGTTGATTTCAGAGCTCCTTCTATTTGATCTTGTTCCTTTTTGTCTGATCCCATGTGCCCTCTTCAGACCTGCTTTGAATC